GAGACGGAGGAGAAGGCTCGTGGCGTGGCGATGGTTTTATTAACGCTTCATAAGCTACCAAGTCGAGTGGCCTACACGGAGATGCAAGAGCATGTAAACATTTCACTATTGCTGCAGGACCTGCCCGGGATTAGCTATGCATGCATGACCCAGCTGCCGTTCCGGCGCGGCAAGAGTTTGTCGCAAGATCTAAAACCACAAGTTTGTTATTTAGCAAAGTTTTTGTTTGTTTTTTTTTTGCTCACCCACCCCATACACTGGCTGTCAAAGAGATGTGGCAGTGGTTGCCGGCCACACAGATGTCCAAACATACAGACAGACACAAACGGATGTCCCGCCCAAGGCTTGTCCGCAGCTCAGTTGGCTAGCAAAGCAAAGTAATTTGCACTCGACGAGTTCATGGGTATACGAAAATTGTATTCAGAACTACCCAACTTTCTGTAGCAACACCTGGATCTCAGACACCTGAAAATCGTCTTCAGTTCACATGGAGAAGCTGCCTTCGATCCATGCTCCCTTAATCAAAATCAATCAACTTTTAATCACAAGTTTGTATGCAATTTTACTGTCAATACGATATATATGTAAGTAGCCACTAATATACGGTATTGTTAGTATTTATTCGCCTGGAATTCTAGGCGAATTTCGCCCCGTGTTCGGGATAGTTTCTGCCTTCTAAGCAACTGTTCTTCCTTTACCAACTGGGCGAATGAACCACTTAAACTTTTTGAAGCAAAGTGAGTTTATTTACTAATTATGTATACTTACATAAATAACCCTTAGGTTACGGGTGGTCATAGCTCTTTCACTGGATTTGTGTCTGCTCTTGTTCGATAGTGTAAACTCTTGCCAACTGCTCCCACTCCCACTGCGGCGGTTAGTCAGAGCTGCGCTCCGCTTAATTAGCACAAGCCATTAATTATACTTTTTGGTTCCATTCGGACTCTATTATTGCATTAAAAACCCCGTGTTTTTTCTCTGTCAAACTCGGTTTCGTTGCCCCGGGCTACCGACGTGTTTCTGCAGAGAATTAAATGTCAGAACCAACTGAAACTCAATTCAGCGTTTAAAGCTCGGTGCATGCATGGGATTGGCATCTCGCCCACATCCCCTTATCCGGATGGGATTATATACTATATGTGTATATATATATATACAAATATTTAATGGGATTTGGATGAAAATCCGATTAATGACTTTTCCCCGATGTGACAGTGGCAGTGGCAGTTGCAGTTGCAGTCGCAAAGCTACAAAGTATTTCTCTGCGGCAATTGCAGTTCTGTTTCTGTTTCGCTATTGTGTGTGTTCAAATTCATCGACATTTGTACACAAAAAATACACATGTACTACATACATACATGTGTACATATGTATAACCACTTCGATTCTCTTCAATTCAATTGCAATTTACTTTCACCACTTAGCCTTTCTGTTTGGTTAAATGAAACTTTAATCCTGCAATTAAGTTTAGCAAGTAATCAATTCAAGAAACAGCTGCCCCGCTCCCGCTCCCGTCCCGTTCCCTGTTCCGTGTCCTGTCAAAAAGGTGTCCCCGCCGGGTTGTGTGTGTTTGTAAAGCTTCGGTCGGTCTCAGTTTCTGTTGGCAGTTCTGGGCCACCATCAATAATTGCCCCTAATGGGCCTGCTAGACAAGCATGACTCATAAATGCCAATCACGGGCTCCTCATGGACAAAGCACGCCCACATGCGGTGCCTCGATGGGTGTTGGTGTGGGTGCTGGTGTGGGTGCTGGTGTGGGTGCTGGTGTGGGTGCTGGTGTGGGTGTGGGTGCGGGTCGGACGAAACAATAAACTTTTGAAGGCTGCAGAGGATGGCCCTGGGGGTGTGGAGGCAGCCAGCCAGATGGCACTGACCCGCCGGGCAATTCCGTGGTCACATTTCGCCTTTATTATCAAACCTGATGTCGTCCTCGTCCTCTGCCGGCAGTGGATTATTATTGCATATGTTATGATAAGCGTTGGCACCTCGCTCCAAGCACAATCACCAGCACCAGCACCTCCAACATCCAACAACAACAACAACAAAATCAGCCCCTCGTCAGCCTCCTCGCGGCCAATGTGGCCACTGGGTGATAACATAATAGCAACATGGCCATAAAAGAGCTTGTTTGTTTGCTTCTGGCCAACAGCGCCCGCAATTTATCGTCGCTGGACTTTGGAGAGCAGGCCATTGAATGGCCGACGGGGAGCTACTCTGCTCACCTCCCAGCCCCGCACTATAAAGTTCTTCTTTTTTTTTCCACAAATGTTAATATTTTTGCTTATCAAAGTTTCAACTTAACTAAGTAAAGGAGACGAAACTTTGGCAGGAACTTTCCGAGCTAACAGACTCCCCTAAGAATCCGGAGATGAATAAAAATTGTTTCTATCAAAATATTCTGAGAGTTTAAGCAGGGTCTGGTTTTAATTACTGTACTATGTACTATGTTGCAGTTGCTTATCCTTTTCCATATGCGAAAAATAACTATAAAAGATTTACATAAATTAAGGAGCTGCGGGAATACTTTTTCCTGTATCACATTCCGTAGGAAAATTAAATTAAAAAAAATGAAGCAATATTTGCTCAGCTCAGGAATGCCAATACCTCGGACTGCAGCTTTTCTGTACTCTGTACCCACAGAAACCCACTCCGAGCTCTGTTCTGCATGCATTCTGCATTCCTTTTTGCTGGAAGCTTCTGCCCTGCGCTCTTGGCTCTTTGTCTCCTTTCATTGCTGGTCGCTTAGTAGTTGTAAAGGGGTAATAAGCAGTCCTTCGGACAGGGAAATGCCTGCAGTGTGGGCTTGCAATGGCAGGAGGACGGCCATGGCAGAGCCAATAATGTTATTAAAGCTGATGGTAAACTGTTGCATGCCTTCCATTGTGGCCATTCCGTATGCAGTTGTAGTTTGCTTCGGCTCTTCGGTCGGGTCACCGGGTGCAGAACGGTACACAACAGAACGCAATTAAAGAGCACAAAAGTGGACCAGAAACAGAAGAAGAAACACCAACAGGAGCAGCACAGAGGAGGACAAAGAGGTGCACTTGAAAGCAATTTTCCCAGAGTCAACAAAACCGGGAAAAAGTGCAATTCCGAGTGGTTCGTGGACGCGAACGGGGAGGGGGACGGGCAGAAGCAAACACAGAAAACTTTGTTAAGCTCTGGCCAATGGCAAGTGGCAGACTTTGCGGGCTTAAAGTTTTCATTATTTATGCTGCCAACTGGCTTACGAACTTGCCGTTTTCGAGTGGGCAAGTTCAAGCTGCTGCCGACTACCCAGTCGAAACTCCACTCAACTCAGTACTGTATGGGAGCAAGTGACCATTTTAACTTCAACATACGAGTATTTCAGTTGAACGCCCAAAGATAGGCAACAGAAACAGAGCCAACTCCCTGCCAGAGATGCTCGTCAGAGTGCGACCGGACCCACTCGTTTTGAATTAAGTTACTGTAAGCCATGTACTGAAACGAGCTGGTACGGATTGACTTGCTGGGTGTCAGCAGGCCGGGGTACTAAGCGCATTTTACAGTGGCAATCGGCAGGGCTGGTCTTGGCCCTAAAGCCGAGCTGCAGCTGAGCAAGAGATGGCAATCGAATAGGGTAAACAGACCCATCCCTTTGCCTTTTGGCCTAGGCAAACAAGTGTTTGGAAGCCAGCAGTCAAGAGCTCAGAGCCCTGGCTTAAGTCGATGGCGAAAGGCAAACAAACTGAAAATGAGATTTACGTTTCGTTTAGTTGAACAATGTGGCATGAGGACAGACCTGCGCTTGGGTCCCGTCCCTCTCACATAGGCCCACGTACGGAGCCCCAGAATGTGTCCTAGTCACAAAAGTCAATAGTCAGGCAAAACTTGAATGTGTTGTCAAGGATACACAAACGGCAACAGGCATCACAGAGCCCCGGCACGGGCTCGAGTGTGTAGATATGTCATCACAGAACCGCTTTTGGCACACACAGAAACTTTAAGCTTTAAAGCAGAGGTATGAGCTGGACTAAGACCTGAATAAGACCTAAATCATATTAAGTTCTAGTCAGAGACCACAAATATCGCAACCATAACTGATGACAATAATTGACGGTGAGGGAGAGACAGCTGTGGATTTAAATACTATTCAATGCTCTCCCAGATAATTCAATAGCGTATATTTGTATATGCCCTAAAAGGCTACTTTGCATTCTCTGATTAGTTGCCTTCTGGTTAAGTGCAGCCAATTTCGGCTTTACGTTGAACGCTTTTGTGCCATTTTGTCTGCCCGATTCAAGGAGACACTTCGGAAAGGGGTAATGAAGAATCGAACCGGAGGAGGGGAGGTGAATAAATATTTGAAGCATGCTTGTCACATTGGTATTGGTATCATTCAACCATCAACATATGGCTAACTAACGAGTTAACTAACGACTTATATTTTGGTCGATATTTCGAAACAACCGTTTTCTTTTTTCTTTTTGTCTGGTCGTAGCTTCTGTGTTCTTTCTTTCATCCCATATAAATCATATTGCCACACGCAATGGGAAATACACGACTCAGCACTGTAGCTGAGGCAACAATAACCGCCTCTGCAGCGATTTCTGCCGACGATGCGATCGTTCCTCAGAGGGAAAAAATGCTGGTATAATTGCTGACCATCGCAGTTGGCTTATTGCAAACTTGACAATAATATAATTTTAATTCCAATTCTTTTTAGCGAACCATAGAACCACAGTTTCCACACCTTATTTTATTTTCATACCCCACAACCAACTGTACCCTTATGATAATCCCGCCTTTTTATATGCTTTAAAATCTAAATACACAAGTGTAAATATAAGTGCTGAATGCTGACTTTGCACAGACCGATCATCAACCCCACATACCGCCACCCATAGCAATAAGACACCCTCCGCCAAGTGCAGATTTACGTAAGAATGAAGTCCCACATTGTACCGCCACCCATAGCAATTCTGCAAAGTCGTCCAGTTATGTAATCATAAGCTACCGATCGACGGTTTTACGGTTAAATAGCGCCCGGGCTCGGAGGAACAAGACAGTCAGTACTGAACCTGGGACTTAAGAACAAGTGAATCAATAATAAATATTACATATAAAAATCCAGAACTAAAGCCAAGTGAGTGTTGTTATAAAAAACTAAACTTTCGATTAAAATTAAAATTGTGTGTCGTTTTTTTCATTGATAAAAAACCCAACGAGAGGTAACTATGTGGGTAGCTTCTAAGTCCGCGACTCTACTTTTATACCCGTTTTCAGTCAGTATATACTTATGTGAGCTTTTGATTTATGTGGAACTTTTAAATATTTTATCAGTTTACATTTTTTTGCTACATCTCCTCCGCTAGAGCTAAGCAAGGATGGCAGAGTGTGTGAGTAGTGTGTGAGGGGAAGAGAGAATGAGTAGCGCTGCAGCACTGAAAGTGGGTGGGGTAGCAAGTGAAAATTAATTTCTGTCTTCTGGCTATAATAATGATCCGCTCTGATTTATATTCGGCAATATGGTATACATGTATAGTGATTCTCTACGGTACTGCGTTTTTAGTTTTGTCGTGTATGGGGTCGGAAATGTTTCCGTCTCTGCGTTACACACATGCACTTCGACCAAATATTTAATATACCCCTTAACTCATTGAGTACGGGTATAAAAATATGCATTTCAAGCGATACCAGATGACAACTAGAACTAGCATCATAAACAAAGTTTGACTGGGTATCCATACATATGTATGTATGTACATATGTAAATATGTGATGTATTTATGTTCGCTAGAAATTAAAATATGTTTTGCTACGTTTGCACGGAGCGCCTGCATTTAATTACGTTCACTATTTGTTTAATGTTATTGTTTATTTGGAACGTTTTTGTTCGCTTACACAAACGTATTTGTTGTTCGGCAAAAACGTTTATGTATCACTACTACTAAGCTATTTAAGCCATACGCAAAATTACCGAAAACAAATAAAACTGCATCTTTCATCTCTTAATCGTTGGCTTTCAAGATACATTTAGGGAATCGTTAATTTGTATATCGCTTAAATTTGGTGTAGACGCACACCAAACAAAACAAACTAATGGTAAAGACCCTCAAATGTTGCGTTGCCAATCATTTTCATTATATTGCTGGGCAGAGAAACTTCTGTCAAGTAAGCAGATCCGTCGATCGTCGACAGATTTTGGTAGCATAAGTCAGTTTTATACAGAGTATTTCGCTGAGCGGAAGGAACTTACTCGTTTTGCCATGGCACATTATATACTCAACCAATCCCTTATATCAACAGTATTTACCTAGTATTGAATAAACGATTCAATATAAAATACAACATCCCGTGAATGAATTGATCAAGCAATTCAAAACCCAAATTTTATAATTAAAAAAATGTTTAAGATTGAGGTGAAAAAAACGTGCTTAAAAGGCAAATTTAAATGCATTTTGCTCAAAAAGTACTCAAGCTAGAAGAACATTTTTTTCCCTAAGTTAAAGAAAAAATTTAGAATATGAATTAAAAAAAAAAAAAATATTTGTTGCGATTATATTTTATTACATTTTTTTAGGAAACGTAATTTTTCACTATTTGGACTGCACGAACAAATAGTGGCAATATTCAGCAAACAAAAAACAGAGATCTTGCTCAATATATTCTTTGTTTCAAATTCAAACTAGCTAACAATTAACAAACACATTTATAAGGTACAAATACGTAAATTATAGATTAGCCAAGCCAAGCCCTTGCTATACACATATGCATATGCATTTAATTAAACATTTTAATATTTAACGAAGCAATTTTCCCTACTTTCAAATGGGGCAAACATTTCAGACAAATATAATAATTTTATATCCGGAACGGCTCTCATTTGTCTTAGTGCGGAAATTTTGGGATCCGGGAAGCTAACAGCAAGTTGAACAAATCTTTGTTTTGTCGCTTTTCTTGTGAACTATACATAGGTGTTAGATATTTGCTGGAAAGGCTTTTCTTGCACAGTTTTTAAAAACGCTTCAATTGCATTTCTATTTCATGATTAAAAAAATTTTTTAAAATCCACTTCGCTTTTAACCGGTGACACCCCAGTTTTCTTGTGTTTTATGCGTGTATTTGGTTCAGAAACTGTATGATATCGTATGTGGTAATGGTCATTAACATTTAGACCACTGTGCATCTTCAACGAGCTGCCTATCTGTTTTGGAGGAAAATAAGCCTTCTAATCGGGTTATGGAAAACGATGGAAAGCGCCGTTCTTACTTCTCCTGAATGCATTGCTTCTTTGAAGGAAAAATATTGAAAAAAATATTGTTGTGTTGTTATTTGTGTGGTTCGTGTTCCTTTCGTTTCGTCGGGCACGCATTCGTTGTTTTATCTTTCCAAAATAACTTCAAAGAAATTCGATTTACAACGTTATAATATTTATTTATACCGGCGGCTAGCTGAAGCCAATTGCTCGCTCTTTTGCCCGGCAAGATAAATGTACGCAAGGGGGTTCGGTATGCAACCTATGGTGCTAGAGATTAGATATTTAGATATTTACATATCTATGCAATAGGAAATGGCAGCGCTTATTTATGATAACTATGATGATTTAGCTGCTGCTTCTGGCTGATGGCCCGAACAGTAAGGCTCAATTTAACGTGAACAACTTAAAACGAAATGCCTGTTGGTCGCCATTAAAGGGTAACCCGTAAAGACGGGTAAATGTGTGTATGTGTGCGATTCTCACATACATGTGTTCGTTTACCGTTACGGCACTAAACACGTGCAAATGCATGTATTCATACGAACTTCCCGTTTTGTCGCCGTAAAGAGGGCAAATGGTAGGGACGGGACGGGACCCATGGGGACTTACCACATACATATGTATGTATGTATGCTAGGCTAGCTAGCCTTTGTATGCGTGGCGCATATGTACATAGAGTTCCTTCGGTTTTGTTTTTATACCCGTACTCAAAAAAGAGTTCAGGGGTATATTAGATTTGTGGTAAAAGTGGATGTGTGCAACGCAGAGAAGGAAACGTTTCCGACCCCAGAAAGTATACATATTCTTGATCAGCATCAATAGGCGAGTCGATATAGCCATGTCCGTCTGTCCGTCTGTCTGTCCGCCCGTCTGTCCGTCTTGTTTGTCGCCTGGATCTCAGAGACTATAAGAGCTAGAGAAACCAAATTTGGTTTCCAGACACATGTGATATCACACTGCTGCAAGTGTATTTCAAAATTTCGCCCCGCCCCCTTCCGCCTCCACAAAGGACGAAAATCTGTGGCTGGCACAATTTTAAAGATACGATAAAACTATAAACGCAGTATCGTAGAGAATCAGATGGGATCATAATTATAGCCAGAATGAAGAAATTGATTTTTAGTTGTTTCCCCCGCCCCCTCCTGCCAGTAGCAACCACTCTACTCATTCTCTTTCTCGCTCGCACACTCTGCCGCGTTCAGTGCGCCCCCTAGCGGAGGAGATGAGATGTAGAATATAAATTGTACATGTAGAATCATGTTAGATGTAGAATATACATTGTATATATAGATGTAGATAACATATGTAGCAAAAAAATGTAAAATGTAAAATTTTTTTTTAAATTATAAAATTCTAAAAAATCATACTCAAAAATGTATATACTGACTGAGTACGGGTATAAGTAGAGTCGTGTCCCCAGAAGCGACTCACACGTTCCTTCTCGTTCTTTTTTATGACACGATTATTTATTATTTAACCTTTGTTTGCAGCAATGAACAACCAACCAAATCGAGGAAGTAGAGGGGCCAGACCGAAGCACTCCATGCTGAGCTCGTCGATGGAACTGATGGCCAGGACAAACGAGGCGCAGTCAAGGGCGAACAGCGAGCAGTCCAGGGCCAACTGGCTCCTAGTCAGAGCGCTCCAGGAGCAGATTCAATACGACCGGGAGTTGATTCAACTCCGTGCCAGGGAGTTGAGGGGCAGCAAAGGGCGCGAAAATACCCGTTCCGCCCGATCTGTAGAGAAGGAACGGGCCTCTGCGAAAAGAGCCGCCAGCGTCGAGTGTGAGGAGCCCAACAAGCAGCCCAAGAAGGAGCCAATGTGGAACCCAAGGAGGAGCCCCAGCCCCAGCCCCAGCTCCAGCCCCATACCTTTGCCCTGTCCATGCCAGATCTAGACTTTAAATAAAAATAAAAGAAAATATAATAAGAAATAATTTGTGTTGAATTTGTTTTGGCAGCGGGACTTTATGCCTATTTTGTCAATATTTTAATCAAATTTTTGTTCTTTACAGATGCAGATCATCAAGAAACTGCGGATTTATCAGGTGGCGCTATCCACAGCAACGGCAGATGGGCAGCATCCACATCTATCCGATGCCCATGCCAGTAAGTCATCAAATTATCCACTTCTCTGCATACGGCAGTCTAGAGAAATTGATTCCCCCTTGCAGGTCTCCACATGGAAACGTACGAGGTGCACTTTCTGCACTACTGCGACTTCTAGCTTTGGGAGATGGCCACGGAAATGGTTCCCAAATTGTGCGGCGTCTTCACCATTGATATGCCATTTGGCTGCAATTTTACGCCCATTTACCTACAGGAGCTCGCCAATACAGTGGAGAACAGCCCCAAGCGAAACATTTTGCTACGCTTGAGTTCCTATGTAGATATCATGGTGCCACGGTACGCGACGAGGAGGTGAGAACGCTGCTGCTGGTGAGAAGTAAGCGAAGTTGTCCCCGAAGAGATCACATAACTAATCGCGTATAATTTGGTTCCCCTTCAGCTATGTAGACTCCAAGGAAGTGGTTCGGGAGGCGCGTCGCGAGCTTAAGGAGGAGCGCCTGTAGAGAGGAGTGCCTGTCCGAGAAGGACAACCTGCACTGGCGCACGACTCCCTTGTGGAACGACAGCCCCTTCTGCTATTGGTTCTGCATGAATGTAGAATAATTAATTAATGACCCACGTGGCCCTGCGTGGAGCTGGATTTGGGAAATCCCCGATAGGCAACCGAACGTCTATATTTAAAGCGGGCTCATCGAGGCGTGTGATGGATGGGACTAATCATTGAGTCAATGTCAACTCTTGCGCAATGCGTGGTGGGAGCTGACTGAGCAGCTGTCGGGGAAGTCCGCTGTATGCTAATTAGTGGGTGGATGGGATGTTGAGAACAGCTGCGAAGTATGTGCAACAGTTGAGCTGCAGAGCTGACAATCGTTTGGACCCCTGAGGGGTCAATCCCCTGCCAATCCCGCGGCTGGCATCGCACTTTGCTTTGTTTTTGACTATTCCCAGGCATTAGCGGTGCTCTTTTTAAAGTTATTTGATTGTCATTTGAAGCAGAAAGAAGAAACCTTTCAGTGTTTCGTCATTCGGAAGAACGATGCTGCACGGGACAATATTGGTTCAGGCAAAGAGCCCGCAAATATTTACCCAAAAAGCCCAAATTAATGTTGCCTTCCATGGCTACCTTCCGTGGCATCTATCCATTGAATTTCAAATGCCGGCAATTAACTTGTCAACACTTTGATGCGGTCCCTGGTCTCCGTTCATTATACCAGTCGGGAACTTTGCAGACCCGATTCGTCAAAAAGCAAAACAGGAAAAAAGTAAAATGCTAATTCAATATGTACATGGAAAAAGGTAAAACCGAACATTTCTCGTGGTCCATACAATCTATTTAATGGCCTGGTGGTGCGTCCGTGCACAAATCATTGCCACGAATTTCCCGAGGTCTTTTAAACTCCACTTTGGCAACCTCTATCACAAAGAGATTGGATCATTATTTCAGCCAGATTAAGGATAACAGTATTAAAATTTAACTATTATTAGTTTTGATTCCTGCACACTGGATACTAGGAGCTGCGGCGGAACATGAACCTTGTCAAAGGAGAGTAAGGAATATCCTAGTTCAAATTGGTGCACCAATTCATTTTCAAATTGTTTTGTTAGCCACTGGTGGGAGGGAGTCCCCACTGACCGGTTGCTAACACCGGCTAATATGAAAGAAACAGCAGTGCTCAACATCTAAGTCCACAGTGTGTCTGCTAAATAAATGTTCGAGCCAAGATTCTGGCCTTGTGCGTGCCAAATTTGCTCCTGAGTGCTCCTGAGTGCTCCTGGCCTCAAGGACTCAGCGACGTGGGCTATCAGCAAATCGAACCGAACCGTCATAAAAACCAATCACATTCAATATAAATATTTGTCATAAAGCATTCGCTACGTGGCGATGCCATGAATCGTAGTGTGTCCGAGAGCCAGTGACGAACGATTGCCCAGCAAGGTCCTGGGACACGTTCTTTGCTGTTGGTCACGTGCGGAAATATGTACATATGTCCAAGAGTCCTTTCCGGGTGATCCCCCGCACCGCCCCGCCCCGCCCCGACTGCGCCCCACTGCTTGCACACTCAATGGCACAAGAGTTTCATAACTATTCAGGGGCCTAATTAAGCTGTCAGAGGCAAGCGGTACAAAGTGGGTCGGCGCTTTGCTTGAATGGCTAAACATCAAAAGCCCTGGCTCATCGGGACCTCTTTTAACCGCCGAACAAATCCGGCCGAAATGCTCATTTCCCTTGAGCGAAAACAATATCCTGTTTAGGGCTAAGCCAATACAGAATCGCAGCCCAGACAAGCCATATTCAATTTACGTTGCCTGGCGACGGGAAATGAGTTTTCCATTTTATTTCTTGCTGTTTCTGCGGACCCGCAAATAGCCGCTTAGCCTTAGCCCTAAGCCACCACCACACCCCCAGTTCCCCTGCTTCGAGGAGAGTGCGTCTACTGCTGCCACGTTTTTTGCCAAACTTTTAACTAATGGCACGCATCCATCAGGCCTGGCCCCACACGCATCCATCCACAGGTTCGGGAAGCCCTTTCTGGGGCAGCCTATCGAGGATTCTGACTGGCTTGATTAATGCCCTGCCCTGCCCTGCCGTGCGCCCTGGACGTACATACATATGCTGAAGCACCGCAGAGGTGGGCCTCCTATGCCAGACTTTGTTTACATACAAAATATGTACATTCGAGTATAAAGAAATAAATCATTATCAAATGCCAAAGACCCGAACAAGTGGATTTAATTAGTGCAGGTTAAAGTCCCATTTAACCCGAGCATCTATCTGCCCGGCTCCTAGGTCTGGCCTGGTCTTACCTTTAGAAGGAGCCTGCGTTTGGTTATTTAAGTGAATTTAGCATGCGATGGGAGCATCTCCGGCCCACATCCACATCCACAGGGGGGGCTCCCTTCACTCCACTCTAGAGGATGTTTATGCGTATAAGTGATATTTATTTTCACATTGCCGACTGGCGCCAGGCTTTGACACATGCGAACAGGCAGACTGCTGCCAACACCGACACCGACCCCACAAAAATACCGACTGACAGACACCCAAACTGCTCTGTCTCGTCTCTGGATATTACGCCTTTGGTACTACTTCGCTTGATCCGCCCGAATCGTCGTCGTGAGGAGGCACCCGCACCGTGAGGAGCTAAAACCAAACTGAAGCCAAACTGAATATTATTTGGCTCAGCGCCGTCGGACGTCTTGTCGACGGTGTCGGTGTCGGTGCCAGGCGCAGACGCAGTCGCAGTCTGGAGTCCGGACACGTCAAAGAGCGGCTTCAATGGGGGTCCACTCAAATATTTTCAACAACATATGCATGTATGTACATTGTACATACATATGTACGATGGCAATGTTTGTGCATTTCCCAGCGATGCCGCTCCTGCCTTCTGGCCCGAGGAGCCAGCGTGCACTTTTCCGCCTGCTAACTTGTTGAAGCTGCCATTTGCCATTGGCCGGAAAAACGATTTGGATTCGCCAGCAGGAAAGGCCCCTTAAAATCCATTTCGAAAGTTTGCTGGTACAAATTCGTTGCCGTTTCGTTTCCGGATGGCATTCATCACACAATTGTGGGCGCAAACTTAACATTCGTCTGGATCAATCAGGGCATAAATCCTGAAATATTTATGCCCCATTTCATATGCAAGTTTAATCAAGTTTGTTAGTCACGCCCCATCGGACACGTCACAAATTATTCAGAGCTGTTTTCATGTTCAATTTATTATGCTCGGGCGACAAAGTTAGCACCACATTTAATTTCGTGGCTCAATAAAGACAGAGTGGAAAAGACTAACGACTTTACAGTACAGTACTTCGACTACTCACACTTGATACATACATATGTACACGAGTATTTATGTACCTATTGTTAACAATACGTATAGGCTTGATCCTATAAACGCCTCTATTGGATATGCAAACAGATGTACAAAGGTACGTTAAATATGTATGAATATAATTTGTATATATGTATGTATCTACCAGCTACTGCTACTGAGCACAAGCTCAGATAAAACTATCAGAGATAACAGACGCCACAGATAACACAACTCTTGGCAGGTTTTTAGGATATTGTTGTTTGTTCAACCTAACAGAGTTTGCCGGTGACACTTTTCATCCATGAGACAACATTGATGGACACAGAAACACAGAGACAGAGAAGCTAAAACATTTCAAATTCAGTGCTGCTGCTGCTTTCCCTCATCCTCCGCCCAGACAATGAGTGCCACAATTGCATTGTCCTTGCCAGCTCGGCCGCCCGTCCCTGTGCTGCCAGAGTCCTTCCTGCCCGGTCTCGCATCATTTCTCGGCCCTCCCACTGTTGAATATTTGACTTGTTTTTCCAGTCTACCAGTTTGACAAAAGCAACTAATTCTGTGGAATAAAGGCGTTTTAATTACCTGGACATATAAATTAGTCTTGGAAAATCCACATGGGAACTGTTCTACAAGTATAAACAAAATAATCAAATATATGTACTACATACATACATATGTACATATATCTGGCCAGAAAACTAAAGCATATAATCAAAATATTGAGCAAAATATCCCCCAAGAAAAGGCAGGAATAATAAAGAGAAAATAAAGTAATTTCGGCGAACCGAAGTTTCTATATCCTTGAAGTTCGGTGACCACTAATTGGGGTCTTTCAAATAGGCATGCAGCACACAAAATAACCAACTATGTACACATATTTCTTTACTATATACAAACACAAAAAAAGTGTTTTTGTCAAATCGTTTTTACATATATCAGCTATACATGATAGTGATGTGGTGTTCCTATTTTGGACAAACCTCTACATATTATTTATTATTATTTTATGGAAAAATTTCAAACAGGGATTTAAAATTAGAAACAAAATATCTCTTTATTGACTCAGAATTTCTTCTGATAATAATTATTATATTTATCCTTTCTGTGTTTTGTGAACGTCAATTGTATAAAAAGCTTTTTAAAATTGTTTTTTTTATTACTTTTTACATCCCAAATGGACTTTCAAGTCTAAACAAAATCATGCTTGTTCTTCTAGATGCTCAATCTTCTAGAAACTCTTTGTAAGTGCACAACTATATCCAGGAAAAATCGATTGGCACAAGCGGATCCTCCTATGCCATCTGTAAGGGATGTTCATTAATGATTCTTAGATACTTAATATATGAATATATGGAATAACAATTGTTTTACATGTGTGTACTACACGGGAAGGTTAAAGATATAGTTTGCCCTTCTGAAGGCACCGCAGCGTAATGGCCACAAAAATGGAGAAACACAGGACGGAGCAGAAGAGTCCTGGGAATGGGAATGCCGTACATTACATTCATATGACCATGACATTCGGCGTGGTGCGTTATGGCATCTGGGGGGAGATTTGCGATAACAATTACAAGCCTGAGCTGCGACGAATTAGGTCCGTACGTCTGGGCCATAAACATGACATTTAATAAATTGGTCAGGCGTGTGTCCATACTGTGTATGAAAAATCAGGCAACCGATGTTCATATTCATATGTAATCTTATGATATTTTGTAATTTTTGTAGTTGGGGTACCTACTTTTAACTATAGCTTCTCCCATATGATCCTATCGAACTCAACCTAGAGGTGACTGCATTATCATATGCCATAGATTTCAATTTTTAATATTGAGTTCAGTATAAAAGTTGGCACATAATGTCTATCCGCAAAGGTCCAACATATATAGGTTTAACTGTTCGTAAGTATGTACACATCAAATGGAATTGGACTAGAACGAGGCTGGCAAACGGCCCTAGCCCAATGGTATCCTTGCCCTGAAGACAAGTCTCCTTTCGAGACACACCATTTAATAGTGCAGAAACAGCACCGATTAGATTGTGTAATCATCATCTTGTTAGTTGCATGTCTTTTGTCCACTGACCAGGTCCAACAGCTCTCTGGAGCTCTAATGAAAAGTCAAATGCAAATACTGGCCATGAGCTCAACTCATCATATCGGCAAAACTGTCCCCACGCACACTCGCATAACCAAAACGAAGAGCATACAAAGGAAGCCCCTGAACGCCATGAACTTAACAGACATCAACTGTGCCAGCTGTCGGTGCAGGGAATCGTAGCCAAGGGAAATACAATTTGAAACCTTTGTTGCGGTCTTCTTTCAATTGCGGACCCAGTTCTCAGTATTGTTTTCTTTCGCTCCTGTCCTTCATCTGCAGCTGGCATAGGCGACAGGTTGACAGGGTCTCAGTTCAGGGCTGTTAAATGTCTAAAAGAGTTCCATTCCACCGTGAGAAGCTTCTCTCCTGAGGCTTTTATTAGAAATGCAGCCACATTTGACTAGTGCCATTTGCTGCTCCGCCAAGTCCCGCAAGCCTACAGTCGAAACAAATCGACATTAATGGCAACAATAATGATGAAAATCAAGACGGATATCCACACTCCGCAGTCTCAGCGTGGCGAATGACATTGACATTGAATACCCTCGCGATGCTCTCAAGAGTGCACGACGAGGATTGCAGTACCTTCCGTGGCTGGTAGAAGTTGCAGTCACTGATGTTGGGAACGGGGCTATGAGACGGGGTGCAGTCTCCAGTTCGTTGTCATTGGAAGTGTAGCTTAAGAGAAAACTTCAACCCGAGCCCAACCCCCAGTGAGCAGGGAAAGCTATCACAACCTTCGACTCTGCTCTTTGCAGGGTGCGTGCGACCTCTAGCGGGGGAGGTGTATAATCTACACTGTACATGTAGATGACAGATGTAGTCACATACATATGTATATACTGACTGAGTACGGGTATAAAAGTATATCGTTATTTTAATTACTCTAGACCAGACCAGATTTAAATAAGTTGCGTTTTAAGGGTTGGTAAATATATTTGTTAACATTTATTGTATATTTGTGGACTTAGAGATAACCAGAGGAAAGACTATGAATCCCAGAAAATTTGAGAGTGATTTCTGCAAGTAAGCAGTGAGTCTGGCTATTTACGGGGGCTTAATAATATTTAAAAAATAAGAAGCTACCTGATTTGTCTGAAGAAGTCAACTTTTTTGCGATGCTCGGTTTCAAACTCTTTCGTGTGGTGATCATCCATGAATTTGAATTGGCTCGAGGATATGCTGTAGAATGGGTTGACAGGTCGGCGGCAGAAGAAGAAGTCCGGATCAGCTAAGTCGTTTTCGGGTACACATTTTCGCAATGTAGAACTATGTGAAGACCAGGTGTAGTCCTTTGAATAGCTAGAAATAAGTGGGTTTTGATCTCTGGACACAAAAGTGTCATCTGCGGAATATCTGCAATGGTCGATGTGACACTGATAAATGAAAATCTATTAAGCTGAATCTTCTCTCACTGATTCGACTCGAGGGAACGGAAATGCACAATTTTTCTCAATGTTTCTGGACGCGCTGAATGTTTTATTGCACCGCTTTCCAGGGCATCCTGTGTTGTTGTTTTCATACCCGCCATGCAATCATTGCCCTCACTAAAAAACACGCTCGACTTCTGCTGCCGCGACATAGTAAATATAAATGATAAATAGAAAGGAATAAAGTTAACAACGTTGGAAAAGTATCTGACAATACCGAATCTTAATTTTGTGGCAACAACCGAAGAAAAGACTGCTACGTACTTATTTACTTAAACCTTATTTTATAAAAAATCCAATAAAATAAAGTCCTCAAAGTTATCTAAGCTTGTAGAAAATTTATTTATATATCGGATAAAAGTATACATATATATAAGTATGTTCAGCGCTGAGAGCCCTGCTGGCTGTCAAAGTGGATGTGTGTAACGCACAAAAGGACACATTTCCGACCCCACAAAGTATATGTACTCTTAATCAGTATCAATAGCCGAGTTGATATAGCCATGTTTTTTCGTTCGACAAAAAACATTATCGTCCGGCGCTGAAGTAAAAAAAATATTGCACTCTCGCGGACGGGGCGCCCTTACCACGGTTACCATGGGTCAAAACCAAAACCACATCGCGAGTCTGGCTGCTGCGAAATTTCCTGATCTTACATTGATAGAAAAAAGGCATAGCAAAAATCACTACAATCATATTTGAATTTAAATGCGATTTTTAAATACAAACATAGTAAAATTTAATAGAATTCACTTTGATTCAAATATAATTGTATTAAAATAGCTTTTTTAATACGGTCATTTTTAATCTTAATACAAAACACTTTAAAATAAATATAATATATTAAATTTGTAGTTTAATATGTTTCATATTTAAATTGAATATTATTATGACTTGATTTCAAAATTTTTGGTTTTAAAATCAAATGGAAAACTTTTTATTTTAAATATTCCATATTAAATGAAATGAAATATTTTTTGTATTTATTTTAAATATGTTTATGCTGCAGCCTTGAATACACAGTTTAAATTATCTTTGCGCAGGGCCATAATCACAAAAAATGCAGTTCTACTCATGTTGCGATTATTTCTAGTTGCAAACACACCTTGAAATGTAGTCCGCGTAGGCAAAATAATAATCGATTAGTTTAAAAATGAAATATACTTAATATAAATATTAAACATATTAAATTTAAATATGACATATATTTAATTTAAATATGAAATATATTCAACTTAAATATAAAATATATTAAATTTAAATATTTTCATTTTAATATCAAAGTTTAAGTGAAAAATATTCAATTTTAATACAACCACTCTTGGATGAAAATCAATGGCATAAATATTAAAATCTAAGTGAAAATATTAAAATTTCAGGGCTTTTTTCTATCGGTGTACAAAACGATTGACTGGAAGAACCTGTGAAAATAAATGATGGTTTGTGCAGATTTCAATGGGAGTTATATGGCTTAGGGGTCATCACTAATTTCATAGAAAATTAAGAGCCAATTAATATAATGAGCAGATCGAGATGTAACGGCTGGCGTTGCTGTGAGAAAGATCGGGAAGATACGTAGGCGGCGCTACGAAATAGATTGTACATACAAACATACATACATATGTACTGACTGAGTACCGGGTATAAATGAAGATTGAAAGATAACCATTCCAGGCGAGAAAGAGAATATAAAAAGCTTTTATACGCTCAAAGGACAAAGTTTTTCGTGCTGGCAGCAGACACTGCAGTTGCATTCCAGAGAGCGTTGACGTCCTACAGAGTCTCGTACATTATGCGTATTCTTTAGATGTATGTACATATATGTATGTATGTACATATGCTAAGTCGTTTATTGAAGTGTAATTTCAAGTATTTGTTGCATCAATATAACATGCACTTGATGGCGTATTAATTAATAAATTTTAGTTTTAAATTATAGTATAATAAATAGAATTAAAAAAAAAACTAATCGTAAATGTGAATGAGTCACGCACTAGATATCAAATATCAATAGCCGACTGAATAAAACACATTTCGGAATTGTACCAAATCAATGCCGCCCGATTGCATCTTTGAAATATTTAAGTACATAAAAAAAACCTGCGAGAGAGAGAGAGACTAAATGCCACCGACGAATCAAGTATGAAGATTTCATTACCTTTGCCGATTCCTGCAAGCGGTTTCGGGATATGTTCTGTGAATGGGATACGCTCCCAAAGCATTCCACAGTGATCACATGGATGCATTTCACAGCGTGATAAGTCAACTCCAAGACAAGCCAAATCTGAAGGACTTGAAAATTGATGTACCGGGTGAGCATTATACGTCTAGACTCCTAGGGTTTCCATTTGTTATTTTCATTTATTATTTATTATTTTCGCTCTACAGCCTAGAGGGTCTGGAAAGACTTAAAAGCCTCAAAGCACTCCGTTTGAATATTCGGATGGATATTGATGATTTAATTGAAATCTGCCGCCTGAACAAGAACTTGCGTTTTGTCATTCATGAATAATGAAACGGAAGGAAAGAGGCTGCGCCCCGCATTCCGAACAGACCCTACTGCGATGCAAGCGAATACAGGCCTTTGGCTAAGATTCCCAGACTGCAATACTTACAGATCGAAGGCGTGCACGGGAAGGGCACTCTTCAGCCCCTGCTGGAAGGATTGGCCGGTAAACATCGCAAAGTCGTCAACGGATTGTTCATTTACGACGCCCCATTGGACCCATTTAACTGAACTAAAGTGTGGATTTGACGTTCCCCAGAGCATTGGGCTCTTATCCCAACTGCCCAATCTCGACTACTTGAAGATATTGTGCAAACACGACTTTGGGTCAAAGGAGAAAACGAGGATTGAGATAGACAATTCGTTAATATCATACGGACCTAGTGGAGAACTTACGCTTAATTTGAGAAAGGATGCGATTGCCTCCTACTACAGTCCACTTTTGACTCTGCCAGGTTTGTCTTCGCTTCAAATTGACGGATCGCGCCAAGCTGGTTCACTTAAGCCGATTCTCAATGGATTCAGGAACCCACCCACATTGACGGACTTATCGCGGCAGAGGAAATTACACCTGTATCTGAAATCGCATCACTGAAGAGATTGCAATGTAGATTCGCCGAAACACAAAACGCTGAGCTCTTAGCGCAGTTACTCGTGGCTATTAGACATCTGATAGCATCCCCAGGATCCCTCCAGTGCCTCCTGGCTGCTCTGGCCTCGAGGGTGTCGCAAACACTACAAAAGTTTCGTTTATTAGAGGAAAAGATTGATTCCGTGGAGGCAAAGGAACTGGCCCGCCTGAGATCTTTGCGATTTGTCCTGGCCGATGAAATGTTAGACAAGATATCGCCTGTGGTCCTTACAGTTATAAAGTCCTGCAAAAAGTAAGCTAGAATTCATATACTCGCAATAAGTAATCCAAACCTCTCCGGTCGTGTCGACATGAAATCGTCTAAAATAATCGTCTAAATTTTGGAGGCCTGCCAAGACGAAATCGGGACAATAATAAATTGCACGTAGAAATGGATTTCTTTAAAGAAAACAACCACGAGAACCTTTAGCCCGCCCTAAGCCCATAAACCATATGGAAATAAAAGGAAACCATGAAGCTGGCTCATTGAGAAAATTCTTTGCCACCCTGGCGATGAGAACTAAACACGATCTACAGGGTCTGTCCATAACCGACAGCCGCATCGACTTTAGTGATACTACGGAATTGGCCAAGATTATTTCGTGGACGAGCTCCGATAGACGAAGTATCGAGCATTTAATCCATTTAAGCGATTCTTGGGATCCTTGCTGCCAGGGGAGTACCCCACACTAAAACATCTGGTTGTAAGGTGCGCAAGTTTCACCCCCAAGAGGTGACCGAAGTATCCGCCATAAGTTTCATGAAGCGACTCGAGTACATATGAGACGATTTCCTCCTCAATGCACCAGGATTATACGTATATATGCCGCGCAGGGGGAGCGCATTGTAATCTGAACTAATGGACTTCTTCTCTTCACAAATCATAAAGGGAGCTGGATTTCAATTCATTTTGCTGAAACTAGCAAGCATTTATTAATCTATAAAAAGGATAATTGTACAAAAGAACTTAAAGAACAATTTGTGGTGTCTACTTAATTACTCGTACGATTACGATTTGTTGTGGCTTAGGTTACACAGTACATCAGTGCAGTGCATCTTTTAACGAGTTTCTCCGCCGTATGTTCAACAGAAATGTGTCTGTTCAATGAGTTGAAATTAACTAAAACTCGCGAAACATGAATCATTATTCAATCTTATAACTTACAATAGGTATTCTTCAATGAGTCCTGGACGGTCAGATCATGTCAGTCCATGCTGACATGCCCTGCCACAGGGTTGGGGTTTCTTGTTTTTGAAATTTCGATATAAAAAATGCAGTAATTTCCTTGCTTTGATTGATTTGTTTGCTTAAACGAATTACGTTTTAATTTCGTTGATTTGTGTTTTTGTGGATTGTGCTTGCGGAGTTTAAATCTGGCGTTTCTAGACAACTCGATTTGGTGCAGCGTTTATGTGTTGTGTGGTTCTGGTTGGTTGGGGCTATTCTGGTGACTATTCAAAGGACATCGAGTTAATTAAATGTACATACAAAATATTCTCTTTACAAACTAATATCAAAGTTTAGTTATCAACAGTTTAATTCGTGGCCGACGCATGCAGCATGCGCGTTCCTTGCTCTCTCAACTATAGATACATATATGTATGTATGATCGCTGTACATATATTATATTTTCTTTTCAACGAACGGTTGTGTAGCGTTTTCCTCTCGCTGTTTCTGCTCTTTAGATGTTTATACTTTAGTTCAGTTAGTTCAGGGTTGTATAGGTGTTTACCGTTGAATAGATGGATTGTTACAAGGCTTTCTGAGTCTGTGGAGTCTGTGTTTTCTCCGGATTTCTTGCTAACTTATCTGCAATAAATGACTTTGTGTGCACTTTATGTGCGGCTATTACAAAATCCATTCTCGTTCCAATTTCTTTCTCTCATTTGTAGTTGTAATAGTTTCCACTCCACTCGGTCTTCTCAGAATTCTCCAAGTATATGGTGTAATAGTCTCGTTGCTTGCAACGCCATAGCTTTGCTGTCAACTAATGTATGATATATCGAAATGATTAGAAATTATAATCAGGCTTTCAGTCAGAGCTGGAAACTTTGGGGATTGGGGTCCACAGACATGCCATGGCTTATGGCATATATATAGTTAGGGATAGGAAGGGATACTTGCGACAAATTTCACCTTCTAGGATAAACAAACGTAAAAAGTAAAGTAAAAATACGAAAAACTGTCTGTGGGGGAGCAAAGATGTCAAATCTGATTGTGATCTTGCTCCGGAGTAGCTGGTGCTGCCACTGCAGTTGCTGGTGGTGGTGTTGGTGCTGTTGTTTCTGGCTTGCCAGCATTCAGCTTTGCTTTTACTTTCAGCAACAAAGCCTCAAAAGAGTCCTCCTGCGGCTTTGGGGCTGGTGCTTCCTTGGGAAACACATATGAGTGGTAGTTGTTGATGCCAGCATTATCTGCAAGGTGCAAAGGTTGAGTCATTCAGTCAATAGTCCTTTTACCATTGCTGGAGACACTCACCTAAATCGGCATACGAGGCACGACAGAAGGCGCGTCTTCCGCCAAAGCTAATATCATACATGTTGATCTGTGGATCCCTTGGGCTCGTGTCGATGGCCGTGAATGCGTCCTGCGCTCGTTCGTACGTCACAAAGCCATACTTCATGCTGCAACAAAAACAAACATTTGAATTCAATTTGAAATACACTTCCGTTTGGCAGAGTACTACTCCCCACTCCCGACTCCTTACCCGTTCTCCTTGTAGTGGATTGTTATCTGCTTAATGCTGCCATACGCCAAAAACTTGCGGCGCAGCAGCTCTTTGGTGGTCTCTTGCTCAATGCGACCCACATATACAATGCGGCGCTCCTCCACCGCCGGCTGCGATACGTTCCGATCCACAAATCCCCGTCTATTGTTATTGCTGTTGCTGTTTTCGAAGCGCGCCTCAGATTGTGATCTCGAACGAGATCGCCGCAGGGGACGCTGTGGACTGCGACTACGACTGCGCTCCCGATCGCTGATTTCGGATCCCGAACTGGAATAGCCGGCCCAGTTTGACTGCTGGTTTTTCGAGCGTCGCTTATTGTAGCTGGTACGACGCTGTCGGCGCTCATATTTGCCCGCCTCCGAGTACGATGAGGAACTAACCGAGCTGCGGTGGCGGTGTGTGCTGCGCGAGGAATAGCCGCCGTTGCCAATACTGCTGCCCCCGCACGTGGCCGTGGCATCCAAGCTTCGCAACCGCTCCGTTGAGTGGGAGCGGGAACGTGACCGAGACCTGGATCTGTACGAAACCAGGCTGCTGCAATCTGAAGAGGATCCACTCGAGGAACTAGATTCATCCGAGCCTGTGGCTCGCCGTTTGCGGTAGGTGCGACGTGATCGCTCGCGCGACTGCCGCGTGCTGGCGGGCAGCACCAGGAGAGGAAATTCGGGTTGCAGATCGGTCTGGGTAGCCATGCTGACAAGAGTCTTGCGCTCGCGATTCTTGGGTAGGTGCATGATCACCATATCTTCGCCATGCGGCGCATTTTTCTCAGTCCCACCCGAGGGTTTTACTCGGTTGCCATCATTGCCATCAGCCATGTTCTTCGGCAGCAACGTGGCCATCGCCGTGCTACTGGTCTGTCTGACCACCTCGCTCTGTATGCTGGCTATGAGGGAGTTGCTCATGTTCTTGTTCGCATCCTTGCCGTTGGAGATGTTGTACAGGAGTACCGAGGACTTAAGCAGCGAGCGGGGCGAGGCCTTGCTCAGCTGGTTTGGCGGTATCGTTATGTCCGTGTTGCAGCTGGCCGACACAATAATCAATGCGTCCAGATCGGGACGAAGTTTGTTCTTGCTGGGCGTCGTCGCTGTTGCTGTCGCCTCGCTGTTCTCCTCCTCCAATTCCACGCGGTACGTGTCCTTGACAATGTCTTTGAGCGGCGGCAGCTTCGTCACGCGCGGCACCTTTGCCGAGACACGCGAATCGATAATCTTCAGCTGCTGGGCCCGCTTCATCTCCAGCATACGCAGCACCTTGTTCTTGGCCACAGTAATCGGATCCATGGGCAGGGCTTCCGTTGCCCCCCCTTTAATGGGCGGACACTTGAGACTGTTGACAATGTTGGCTATGGCCGCTGTCTTCTGCTGGTGGTTTGAAGTCGATGAGACTGGCATTGGTTTCAGTGCACCCACCGCGGCCACTGCTGGAGATGGGGAGGAGCTTTGTTGGTCCAACTTGGGCTGTTTGGGAGGCGTGGGCTTGGCCTTCGTGCTGGTTTTAGAGACGACAGTGATGACGCCGCCACAGCGACGCTGCTTGTACTCCTCCAGATTGAGTTTTCGCTTGGGCGCCTGTGTCGATGTCAAATTACCTGTTGCTGGTGCGGCCGGCACGCTTGCTGCTGCCGCATCCCGTTCATGCTTGAGAAGCGCAAGATTCTTCCCTCCCAGGCCCAACCCAGTGCTGGCGGCTGGCTGTTGTTTGCTGCCGACTGCAGATTTCATACCCTCCTGACTTTTCTTTGCGGCTGGTTTATTCGACTTGGACGCAGCAGCTCCCACTTTTCGTTTTAGGAACTCGCTCTGCTTCTTGTTGGGCACTAGGCAAATGTTGTTTGTGGTCTTGGGCTTGGTCACGGCGGTGGCTCCTCGAGCCTGGTTTTCTGGGTTCTCCATCGGCGCCAGCTTGGGCTGTTGCTGGATGTGGGATGTGCGAGAGAGCATTTAGGTAATGTATTTAGCGCGTCGTCCACAGGAGCTCTTAGCTCACCGTACTCACCTCTTTAGTGATGACCACTGGCTTCTTTGCGGACCCTTTCGGGGACCAGGAGGGGTCGGCCTTCACATTGTCCACATAGCACAAATCCTCGGCAGGAGCTGCCTCCCCTTTCTCCAGCTGCCCTGTGGCCCAGATGGTCTCATCCACGTCAACCACATCGACAGTCTCCACATCGATGATTGAGTCTGAGTCATCGTCCTCCGAGTCGCGCTGCTTCGCGGATGCAACTGTAGGTTTGCGCACAACAGGAGCCACAGCACCAGCCACAGCCACAGCACCAGCTAATGGAGTAGATGGTGGTGGAACGACTGATGCCACCTTGGAGTGAGTATGTAGAGCTGTTTCTTGGACTCTCTGCTGGGACTTTGTCACGCGACACGCGCTTATGTTCTCTGCAAAGTCATCTTTGGTGATAAAATCAGCTAGATCAAAGTTATTCACATCAATGTTCAGCCCCAAGGCATCGACCTCCGAGACTATGGTGTTAGTGCTCAGCGTTCGACTCTTTCGATCACTGTAGTAGTCATCCAGTGCATCGACATCGTCTCTGAGCAGGCTTGAATTCTGTGCCACCTGCTCTTTGTTCTCTTCCTCCTCGTCATCGTCGTCGTAGTCGCTTGAGTGCGACTCATAGTCGCCAATTGAGGAGCTGTCTGTGCGCGTACGGAAAGTAGAGTTGCTGCATTGACTCTGCACATCCTCCTCTATGAGACCTCCTCCAAGACCTACACCGTCTGGATCATCATATTGGACAACGGCGCTCAAATGACGCTCGTGCTGCTGGTAGGCCACCTCCACCTCGCCGTCGGTGAGGGCCTGATAGACGTGGGCATTGAGTACGTTAGCCTCCTGGTCGCTCAGCTGCTGCTCCACAAAATCGCTGTAGATCAGCTATTCAAACAGATACAGATTCAGACACACATTTAGCCTCCTGCCTGAACAGTTCAATTTGTAAAGTTCTCGGGCCATCGCCATCACCTACCAGGTTCTTGCTGCTCTGCAACTCCACCTCGCCGACGTTGTCGTCGTCGTGGCCGAGCAGGGAGTGGGCGTCTGTGGGCGCAATGGGCAAAATCCCGTTCAGTGTGTCCGTCAACTGCAGGCTGAAATTGAGAGTGCAGAGGATAAGCATGAGCATGTGAATTGTCAGTACTTTACTCGGTACTTACTCATCGTTGGGAGACCAGAAGCTCGGCTCTGTCTCAAATTTTGCAAAGTTTCCATCGAAGGGATCCTCGTGAAAAACATTTAGCAATCGGGAGTCCATCACGCGTCAAGGGGATTGCTGCAGGGCGGATAAGATTCGTTATTGGTAGATATAATTCATGGCACTTAATTCAGTCTTAACATCCTATGCGAACACACATGACACCACTGGAACACTTATGGGGAACCATTATCTCCAAGGAATATAGAGTGCAATGTCCTGCATCTACACAAGCTAATCATCTAGAATCACAGCACAGGAACACGCACGGACCCATATACATAATAGCAAATACAAAAAAATTTCGAGATGCTTCCTTCTGTTCTGTTCCTCTTCCATAACCGTATCTTCCAGGTACTCCTTTAAAATACTAATATTTATCGAGTATCGAGTACCTGCGAACGAGTCTCTTGATTTACGCTTGACACTTTAAAACTGTCAAGTAATCCAGGAAGTGACAGCCCAGGGATGTATTTCCGTTCCGCCTATCTGTCGACAGGCAAGAAAATTTTCATTTGGCATGTGCTTTCAAAGTGAAACAAAAAATTCTCGAAAACATAGCAAAATCATAAAACTATATTGCAAAAATTGCATTTTCCGACTAAAAATAAATTCATAGAGAGGAAAACATGCCACAAAAGGTGCTAACACGTCGCCAGCGGAAGGCAGCCGAGGCCATGCGACAATACACAGAAGAGACGCTCAAGTATCCAGAAGCCACAGTGACCCCACGGCTGGAGACCACCGTCGCGAAGGATGTAAAAGCGGGTGAGTCTAGGCCGGAGCAACAGATAATACCAGGAGGCCCCCCTCCACCTGCACCACCAAAGCCACCGATTAGTGCTAGAAAAAAGATTGTGCCAATCAGCAGGGCAACAAAGCTGACACAGAAGAGGACACAGTCAAATAAATTGGTGGAGTCGATTATCTACAGTAAGACCCCAGTGGCGAGTGGAAGGCTTCCGAAGAAGACGCCCGAGACAGTCAACTTTGACACCCAACAGCTTCCTGGGGCTAATCTTCAGACTACTGGCGCTACCTCTGCCACTGAACGGGAAGCGTTTCCCAAGACCGCGGCCCAACAGCATGCCAGGGAGCAATTAGTCTCGATATGGAACAAAATACAAAACCACATGAGTTCCACGACTATGAGCACGAGAATCTCGCCAAGGACGGTGAACATACCATTGATGAATAAGATCTGCGAACAAATAAAGAGTCGGTGGCAGGGAATTTTGCCGGAGGACTGCTGCAATCTGAATCGCCAGACAGGGGTGTCGCCCGGCTTGTCCTCGTTGAGCTTCACACCCAGTGAAATGGAGCTGATTCCCCAAACATTGCAAGCAGTCGACAACTATTTGGCGAGCATCGAGAGTGAAACCAATTTCGATGATCACGACCGGCGCACAACTTCACGAAAGCGAAGATTGGAGCGAGAGAAGGCCGCGTACACATATCCCCCAGTAAAGAGTGCTGATCCCACAGAGAGTGTGAAAAATTCCGAGAAAGTTCAGACATCCATATCCATCCGTCCAGATGACTCTATCAAGATTATTGACCAAACCGGCTACCTCGTTGTCAGCGGCACAGACCAACAGTTGGCCAAAAAGCTCATTGACATGAAAGCCCAAGGAGCTACCATCGAGCAATCCATTATGCTCCCGAAGGACACTGTGGAGAGAGTGTTGCAGCAGTTGGAGGAACTGCACCTGAATCGTGAACAGATTATCCAGAAAATGCACTCAAAGCATGAAACGCTGGCGCAGCGACGCGAGCCGCGTCTAAAGAAGCGGAGCAAAAAGGCATAGGCATCTTGTGCACATTACAAAAGACACACAAAAACATTTACATTTACATTCAACGCTGCTGAACTGAATCCAGATCACATTAGACATATTTCCAAATTCAAATTTCGCGCTCAAGACTCAACAAGTTGGCAACGCCAGCATTGCACCGAAGGGCGGGCCCAAAACGGAACGGCAAAAAGCAGCGTGGCACGTTGACAGGAGGAGAAAGCAACATGCAGTTTTACCCTCTCACGTGTACGCCGGGACCTGTCCATGGTGGTTGCGCAGACAGGCTACCGGCTACAGGCCACAGACCACAGGATTCAAAGCGGTTGAAAGAAGAGTACGTTTTAGGCTTAAAATGAAATCACGGGCTATTAACAACAAAAACAAAACACATGCGCACGCACACACACATGCGACAGATGGAAGAAGAAGATAAGCCGCCGCACATGTGTTGCGAGCCCACGAACCACGTGTGGGTGTGTGTGCGCGCGCATATACATGTATGGGTAAATGCCGCCGCCACGCCATGTGCTTTTTATGCTCAACACAACAATCAAATTAAAAACTTTTTTCTACACTTCACTATCGCATTTCACATTTTACCCACACACCTCCAGAGACACCAGCCGCGTTTTGTTTAACAAGCTGTTTTCATTCGAAATAAATATATGAATGTACGAACGCAGACAAAATGCGAAACGGATTCACCGACATATTCATATTCTTGCGAATTTGTATGACATGGCCCGCCGGAGCACCCACTACGCGCCTATTCAGCTTTCAGGTGGTTTCCAGTTGTCATATTATTACCTTTGGGGATATTTCAGCTTGCGCACGGCTCCTATTCACTGTTGATATTAAATCTTAATCCTATGTCAACTGTATAAATTGTTGTTTTGTATAGCTTGTTGCCGCCGTCTGTTTGTCTGTCTGCTTTAACCTCACATGTTGAGCGCCGCGTCTGCAGCACCTTAATTTACGTTATTGGTTTAAAGTGCGACGGCAACGATTTCTAGTTTTGTCTCACTGTCACTTTCATTCAACTTTATTGCTTATAGTATACGAACGCCACTATAATTCATTTCACGCTCGGTTTATCTGATAAGTTCATGAATCACATTGCTCAAAATATGTTCACGTGGAACTGAATGCAATGTTATTCTGTTAGTTCGCGGTAGGATTGTTGTTATCATATCGATGTATCGATATGGGTGATATTTTTATTTTTGGTACGATACTATCGGTACGATATTTTTATCTCCAATTATATCAAGAATCGATATTTTTAGAAAATCCGGCGATCAAACGAGACTTAGCACATTAAAACACCCCTCTATTTAAAAGTTGCGCACCCTTTGCTAAGCCGCGGAAAATAATACTGTTTGTAAGGCTCCTTGTAGCTCCATCCTCCTTTTTACTTCAAAATAAAAATGACCAATGATATCTTACAGCGGTAATGCTTAAAATATGTTAAAGTTACATACATTTCGTACAAAAATTAAAAATCCCCCTGGTCGACAATGGGATAACGTTCTATTTTATTGATTGAAATCGTATTCGCTGATTTTGATATTCAGTTTAATATTACTAGCTAGTTAGCCCTCTCAGCCCTTAACAAATAATTTTATCCGATAGATAATCAATTTTCTACAAGATTGGCTAGTTTTCAGAAGTCCTTTTTATTGCATTGTTTACATAAAAAGGTTCATACTAAAACGGCCAAAGCATAAACGTAAATGTTGACTAAATGGGACGTCATTGTAGCTGGTCAACCATGTTTCTTCTATGCGTATGGACTTTTGTATACCTTATTTCCTTTAATTGATGTTACATTTGTTGTTCCATTGAAACATTAATAATAGTTTTATTCTAAATTGAGATATTTTGTACCTATTAATGCATATGTTTTGTGTTTTCTATATACTTTTATCCCGGTTCTGATTCCTATTATTGGTACCCGTGCTGCCTATTCATTTCCCCATGTTGCTGAAATTTTTCGCATACAAATCAAATGTATATTACGGGAACGAACCCCCTAGAATGGATACCGTTCAGTTCGAGCATTTCCACAATCACAAGCTGGAGATATTCCTCGATTAATGCATTCTGTCTAGAAATTCTGTCGGATATGTTTCCAGCTATAACCTGAGTTTGACAGACCCCAAGCACTGATCCTGACTAGGAATTTATTATTTACAATTTTACTGCAAATTTTGAAAAAACCACCACGATTTGAGAGCGAATAATATCGATATTTTTGTACGAAAGTGGAGTTTGGCGATCATTTTGAAAAGTATCTTAATATATTGAATATTTTGTCTCCGATTGTAAAAAATATCAACGAACGCCAATATAATTCATTTCACGCTCGGTTTATCCAAAAAAAAAAACCATTTCAGTTTCGAGAAATACCAGTTAACTACCATAAATTTAAAACATTTGTTTGATTACGCCAGCCCTTTGATTCAGTCTGGATCAACCACTGCACATCGTCTTGGGGTCGAGCTATTCAGTCCGACACCGTCTTGTACCAACTCCCGCGTCTACAATCTGATCCCGTCTTGAATCCAGCTAACTCTCCAACCGACTTGTCATCAACCTAACTCGAACCTTTCGCTATCCCTTTGACTCTGTTATCGCCTTCTATATGTTATAATTAATCTGAACAACCATCGTCTCGTTAATAAATATATCGCAAAACTACGCTATTGAAAAAGCTCAGTAGCTCAACATTATTTCAAGTGTTTTGTCTATTTAAATAGATAAGAAATATAATTCTGATTATTACAAAACATATTTTTGATTTGATGTAATGTAGGATTTCTAGGAGCCAGCGTATCCAACTTAACACCCCCTATATAAACGGGTGATCCAACTTGAGTCAAACCGTGAAAAAGAATTCCATTTGTAGATCCATCTTTTCTCTTTGATTACAAGCAAATATTACCAGGATATCTTTCATCAGAACTGCGCTAAACTTTTTCAAGTTTTATTAACTTCGTGCGTAAATTGAAATACCCACTGGCCGACATTTTGTTTATCGTTCTAAGTTTTAGATCGGAAATCATATTTCTCGATTTTGATATTCGGTTTAATATTACTAGCTAGCTGGGACTCTCAGCACTGGACATATAATTTTGTCCGGTAGATAAATTAATTTTCTACAAGACTGGCTGACTTTCAGAACATCCTTTTATTGGTTTCATTACAAAATAATATTTCAGAAAGGTCAACGAAAAATATCAGCTTAAATCGTAATTGGTAATGAAAGGTAAAGCGATTTGAGCACTTGTTGCTTGCCAACAGAAAGAAGATTTATTGAGTATGGAAGTTTCTATACCCTATCCAATATCTCTGGCAATTTCTTTACTGGTTCTAGTTCTGCCTGTTTTGGCCATTTTCGGTACGCAGTCGACATAGAAGTGATGCTACTGTTTTTTACACCCGTACTCAAAAAAGAGTTAAGGGGTATATTAGATTTGTGGTAAAAGTGGATGTGTGCAACGCAGAGAAGGAAACGTTTCCGACCGCATAAAGTATATACATATATTCTTGATCAGCATCAATAGCCGAGTCGATATAGCCATGGCCGTCTGTCCGTCCGTCCGTCTTGATGAGCGCCTGGATCTCAGAGACTATAAAAGCTAGAGCAACCAAATTTTGTTTCCAGACTCATGTGATATCACACTGTTACAAGTGTATTTCAGAATTTCGCCCCGCCCCCTTCCGCCCCCACAAAGGACGAGGAGATGTAGAATCTAAATGGTACATGTATAATCTACATGTTAGATGTAGAATATACATTGTAGATGTAGATAACAGATGTAGCAAAAAAATGTAAAATGTAAAATTTTTTTTTATTCTAAAATTCTAAAAAATCATAAGCTCAAAAATGTATATACTGACTGAGTACGGGTATAAGTAGAGTAGCGTCCCCAGAAGCGACTCACACGTTCTTTCTCGTTTTAAATTAAATCTGTTTAATATTTTTGGCGTTTAAATGATTTTGAATGTAAGCTTTTTTAGTTGCCGGTCATTTGATGCCAGAATGTGATCAATTTGTGCCGATCATATGTCCTATGCCATATGTCCTCCTTATTTGGTTAAAACGGTGATCGTTTGGCTGGTATTGCAGGTGTATCCATAAAACTACTCTGGTATGTGTACAAAATGTATAAACAACGAGGTAAAACGCACAGCAACATACAATGGGCATGCTCATCCTTAGAAAGTAGACCCGTAAAACCCAACAAATATTTTTATGGAATTGATTGTCGCAAAATATGTTAATTCGCTAGGAATCTGATCTAGGAAAACAATTATTTTTGGTTAGGTTGGAACATGTTTATTTTATTTTCACTTTTCTTTAATGATGCAGACAAATTGCCTGGCGTTTTATCTGGCACAAGCTTTTATATATTTAGGTGAATAGCGCCTTCTGCTTCTTCTGACAACGTACAAGTAGTATAAAATCAGAAAAACATGTTTGTGTTAGTATGTTTTGTATAGACGAAAATGCGGGGATAACTACAAATATATGTGAGTCGATTCAACTCGAGGATAATTTAACGACGCTTCACACTAGTCCATTCGCCATCATCAACGGCCTTGTTTTCTGTAGGAATTGCATTATTATTAACTTTTCATAAATAGAGGGGCGAAGGCAAACTTACCCTTGTCCTGAGGCGGATCGCGTTTGGGTGCAGGCTCATCGCGTGGGCCGGGTGCAGTGCGCCAATTGCCACCACCACCTCCTCCGCCACCAGCAGCAGCAGCACCACCACCACCACCACCAACACCAGCGCTGGGTCCGCCTTCCTTGGGTCCGCGGGATTCTGGGCCGCGCAAATCGCCACGCACCTCGCGGTCGCGTCTGTCGCCAGCAGGGCGTCGATTATCACGATCACTCTGTCGGGGAGCAGCGTCGCGCCAATTTCCACCGGTCTCGCGCGGTGCAGCATCATCATTGCGGCGTGGTCCATCGTTGCGACGGAAACCTCCACGGTCGCGATCATCTCTGTCATCTCTTTCGCGGCGTGGTGGTCCATCGTTGCGGAAGTCACGATCGCGTTCGCGATCGCGGTCTCCGCCTCGACGCCACTTATCGTCCCGAGATGGTGGGGCAGCACTGCTGCTGCTGGCATCCTTGACGCCAGCACCACGCTGGGAATCTGGCTCGCGTCGCACACGCCACGAGGAGTCGGCACCCTCGTTGTCCTTGCGTTCACGATCGCGATCTGCACCACGCTCGCCCCCGCGCTCCATGCGGTCTCCTCCACGCTCCATGCGGTCTCCACGCTCCATGCGTTCTCCTCCACGCTCAATGCGTTCTCCTCCACGCTCAATGCGCTCTCCTCCACGCTCAACGCGCTCTCCTCCACGCTCATTGCGCTCTCCTCCACGCTCGTTGCGGTCACCTGTTGGGGCCGCAGCACGACGCCACTCTCCGGCTCCTCCTCCGCCTGTAGCTGCCGCTGCGCTGGGCCTGTCGCCGCCACGTGGACGCCAGGTGTCACGCTCTTTGTCACTGCGCTCGCGCTCGACGGCCACCTCACGAGCCAAGCGGTCGCGATCTTCCTTAATTTTACGGTCGGCCTCTTCCTCCTTGGCTCGCTGTTTCTCGTACTGTGCGCGGCGCTTCTCATCCTCGGCCTCGCGCTCGAGACGACGTGCCTCGGCAGCGGCACGCTCTTCGGCGGCCTGCGCCAGGCGGATCTCCTCTTCCTTGCGAAGACGTTCCTCTTCCTTTTCGCGAAGGAAGGCCTGACGCCTCTCCTCCCGCCGACGGATGACGCGGTCGGCCAAGCGCTTCTTGCGCTCCGCTTCCAGGGCAATCTCGAACTTCTTGAGCTTCTCCACGTAAAGGGAGGCGCGCTCCTTCTTGAGACCCTCAAGGAACTCATCACGGTCGGGATACATGCGCTTGAGGCGCTCCTGCTGGCTGACAGCATCCTTGCGCTCAGCAATGGCATTCTCGATGCGTGTCTTCTCGGTGGCTTCCCAGAACTCCTTGTCCTTAACCTGCTTCTCAGCCAAATACTTCTCGAAGAGCGGGATCTCTTCCAGGCGCTTGGCGCGCTCATAGTAGTCGATCTTCTTCTCCTGCGACTTGAGCTTCGACTGCAGCTCTTTGGCCTCGCGCTGAAGCTCCTCGCTCTCGCGCTTCGCGATCTGCTCGGCGTCGAGCTTCTTGATGCCCTCCTCGTCCAGCTTGGAGAGCATTTTCTTGCCGTGGGCGGTCTGCGATATTTGCTGGACCTTCTCCTTGAGACTCTTCTCTTTAATTGCCTGAATCTCGTTCTGGTGGCGCTTGCGCTCGCGCTCCTCCTGCTCCAGCTCTAGGCGTTTCTGCTCGGCCAGCTTGGCCTTGCGGGACTCATCTTCCTGGCGGCGCGCCTCCTCCTCCTCGCGTGCGTTGTTCTGCTTCTCGATGTACTCCTTGCGGTCCTCGATGATCTTCTGCCTCTGCAGAATGCGCTGGTGCTCGCGATCCTTGATCTCGTGGTAGTGGTGCACCATCTGGGTGCGCAGCTTGGCCCGCTGGTCCCGCTCGCGATTCGGATAGACAATAGACACGGCTCGGGTCAGCACGGTGGACATGTTCACCAGCTGGGAGCGAATCTGCTCGGAGGGCATCGACTGCAGGGCCGGTCCGTCAGGTCGGTACTCGCGCTGACTCTCGGTGAGGTCGGTGCCAAAGTAGATGCTGTTCTTCTGATGATCGATGCGAATCTGCATATCGTTGTGCCGCACCGACTCGACCAGCAGCTTCTCCAGCTCGAAGATGTTGCAGAAGGTGGCCAGCTCCAGCAGGCGCTTGAACTCGATGCTCTCGTACACCTGCGAGATCTGGCGGATCAGGCGCATGATGGTCACGTCCTTCAGCGACTGAATGTACGGGCTGAGCAGATTGGTCTCCGAGGGGCCTGTCTCGATGATGTCCACAATAGACTGGATCCTCTTGCAGAGATTCAGAGGGTTGAAGTCCACCTCCAACCAGTTGTACAAGTTGCGGAAGTCTTCGGAGACGAGTTGCGGCACATTTAAGCGCACCTAGATGAGGGAAATAATGCTCGATTAACACTTGATTTACTGCCGTGGAGCAGGGGACTGCTCCGTCGATGGTTACTCACCACCTCCCGGATGAGAGAGACACGAGTGGGCGGCTGTGGCAGGCCAAGGAGGACGGCCAGCTTTTGGGCCTTCTCGAGCGGGCTCTTGTCCGCCTCAATGAACCTGTCGAATTCCGGATGGGCCGACGGCAGAGGGATCGAAAGAGTGGCCAGGAGAACGTGTGCAGCCATGCGCTGCAAGTCGTCCTTAGTCAGATTCTTCTTCAGCTCGCGCGTCAGCTGGAAGAGCTTGAGCAGGGCGGCGGCATGGAAGAGCTGATTGCCTGCCTTGCTGAAGACCATCGCAAGCTTCTGGTAATAGTTGGCCATCGTCTTAGGCACGGGGGTCTTCTTGGAGAGGGCCATAAGGCCGTGAATGTCCTCGATGGCCTTGTAGGCCTCCTGCCACAGCTCCATCTGGATGGCGGAGTCGAGCAGATACAGCCTGGTGTCCAGGCAGAGTTGCTGCGTCTCCACTTTGTTGATCGAGACGCCAGTGGTTTGGTTGCTGCTCTTGCAGATGTCCTCAAGATGCTTGCGCAGCTTGTCGCACAGGCGACGGAACTCGCTCTTGCGATTGTATTTCAAGCAGAACTGGAAGGCCATGCGGGCTATGTCGTGGTACAGAGCCTCGCAATGGGTGTTCACACGCAGCAGCTCCAGGCACTGGCAATACGACTCCCAGAGGAACTTCACCCAGGGCAAGAGAATGGTCCGGTCGGACCGGTCCTGGGCATCTTCCCCGCACACTGCGCTCATCAGGATGCTCTCGGGAGTGGCGATGTTGTCCAAGTCGTCCAGCTCCAGCACAGCCACAGCCGCGGAGGACTGCGCCTGGGCAGCCTCGGTGTGCTCCTCGGCCATTTTCAGGTAGCCGCGGATGACATTCTCCAGCGAGTTTACGTTGACCAGCTGGAACATATTGCGGTACTGGAAGAGACCCTCCTTGGCAATGTGCGACTTCTTGAGCTCCACGCACAAGAACAGGTACTTGAACATGAGCGGCTCAATGATAGTCTCCGAGTAGGCATAGTTCCACCTTTTGTTGCGGAACACTTCTTGAAGGGTATCCAGAGCCCGCAAGGGCTTGCCCACCTCAATAAACTCTGCGGAGAGAAAGAGATCGGGAGACGTTTAAACGCGAATGGCAAGTGGGAGAGGTAGAAAGAGAGAGAGTGTGTAGCCCTCTGACATTTGTCGTCGGTCACCGCATGGAAAATTTTTTGCACACTTACCATTAGCTCTTTTAAGAGCATTTTCCGGACGTTGGGTATAACGCGCCATGTTTGCTCAATTGAATGTTTACGCACCGACACTGGCAGTTGGCTTTATTAATGTTTCTGGGGCCTGCGGGAGCTGAATATTGTAAAAACTTTCGGCTCGCCTACGTGTGGCCAACGAGGTTAACACAAAATGGCCGAGTTGACGGCTGTCAGGGCTGCACGACATTGGTGTTATCGATACTAGCTGCCGATAGCTATTGACGATTTGAACACGGCCTGCCAAATGTAAACAACAGCACGCGGAAACTGCACAAAAAATACAAATCAAGATGTGGAAGAAATACATACTATGGTTTGCACAGGAGCATGTCGAATTCAGAATATCAGAGTTCGAGTCACTTGCTAAAATGTTTGGTCTTCAGTTTCGTCGAGTGTCCAAACAGCTGTTGGTGAGTTGAGGGTGGCCACATACAAACACAATCGTTTATTTAAATGACTTCTATTTATTTCGCAGAAGCCCTTCTGGCTAGTGGAGTTCCCCAACGAAAAGACTGCCTTGCAGTATGCATCCCGCTCCATTGCCTTGCGTGCTATATTCGAGCTCTATTCCCACTCCAATACCCTGCCCGAGTTTCACAACAGACTTCGCTCTCACGTGGATACGCACCACAAAGAGCTCGCGCGCCACTTTAGCAACGATGTTAGCTTTAAAATCACTGTCGAGACCTACAACAAGCACTTTAGTCAGCGGGAAAAGGTTGAGAAGATTGAGACGATGGATTACTTACCCATCGGAGGCACTGTCGATCTGAAGAGCCCTCAGGTTGAGTGGTGGTACATCGAGTTTTGGGGCTTGGATCCAAAAGCAGTGCCCCCCGTGCCGGACGACATTCTTTTTGGACGTCTTCTGGCCCAGGGTCAGCGCCATTTGATCAAAGATCTCTCTTTGAAGAAACGCAAATTCATCGGGAACACTAGCATGGATGCGCAGCTAAGTCTGCTCATGGCCAACCAGGCGATGGTGCGAGATGGCGACTTGGTGTTTGATCCATTCGTCGGTACGGGCTCACTGCTGGTAAGCGCTGCCAAGTTCGGGGGGTATGTCCTGGGAGCTGACATTGATTACATGATGGTGCATGCGCAATGTCGGCCCAGCCGCATATCGCAAAGAGTTCGGGAGAAGGACGAGAGTATTCGGGCGAACTTAAAGCAATATGGGTGTGCGGATCGCTACATGGATGTGTTGGTAGCCGACTTCTCGAATCCCCTCTGGCATCCTCGCCTCTCATTCGATAGCATCATAACCGATCGTAGGTAGAGATGCTGCAAAATGTCGCCCAGTGGATGCTTAACCCAAATTGGTATTCGCTTTTAGCTCCATACGGAATACGCGAGGCCACGGAGAAGGTGGAGACCAAAAAGAGTGCAAAAGAGGACACACGCAGTGAGGATATGGTCCACTATCCGTCCACTTCGCACTACTCACTGCAGAGCTTGTACTGCGACCTGCTCGAGTTTTCTGCAAAGCACCTGAAACTAGGAGGACGTCTCGTTTGCTGGCTTCCCTTCCATCGGTAAGATCATTGAATAGATTGGCCATGGCCTAATTAAAGCATTCACTTCGCCCACGCAGAGAGGACTACGATGAGGCAATGCTGCCACATCACAAGCACTTGCGGCTGGTGGCCAACTCCGAGCAGCCCTTAACCGGCAACACGTCCCGTCGCCTGCTCACCTATGAGAAGAGCTCCGAGTACAGCCAGACAGAGGCTTCTGAGTCCAGAATAACACATGTACCTACGCCCTCGGAGGACTTTAGGGATCGCTACTTCAACAACGCTCTCGAGTCTCGCAAGGATCGTCGAATGCGCAAGGCGGAACTACGTGAGCTCGGGCGCCTGGAAATGGCCAGCCGAGGAAAGATTCCCACCGACGGACGCGCGCTGAAATGCGACTTGAACAAAGCCCGTTTTGCCTAGCAGCCAAAACTCCGATTTACATTAATTAAATCTTTTATGGAAATTAATTTTGTTTCCTTTAATATTTGTATAACAATAAGCTAATTAGTGTCCCGCGCCACTGCATCTGCCTGCTCCGCCAGACGACACTTGAAAATGTTGGCAAAACTGCTGAGGAAGGCATTACTGGCCTCCGGGATGCCGATATGCCGGCCCAGCTGTTGGCTGAGAGAGGTTACACCTTTGCCCTCGATGCCACATGGGATGATGTGCTCAAACCATTTCAGATCAGTGCAGCAATTCAAGCCAATTCCATGTGTGGTGACATAACGGGAGCCGTGCACGCCAATGGCACATATCTTGTGGTCGCCCACCCAAATTCCCGTGTCCTGAGTAGTCGCAGCATCTGGAATACCCAGCTGCCGACATGTCTCTATTACCGTGCGCTCCAGCGCGGCTACATACCAGCGGATGCTCGGCTTGAATTGCCGCAGATGCAGAATGGGGTAGGCGACCAGCTGGCCAGGCCCATGAAACGTAATCAAACCCCCACGATCCGTGCGATGGAATTCTGCTCCCAGCTGTCGCAGCCGATCCTCATCGTCTCTCGTATAGTTCTTGCTTCGAATACCTATGGTGTATACTGGATCATGCTCCTGCACAACGATGTAATTGCGAAATTCAGCGAAATCGTCCAAGTTTTGTGCGGACTTTGCCAGCACTTGCTGCAACTTCAGTCCGCTGGCATAGCTGTGGCGTCCAGCACGCACCACAGTCACGAGCGGTTGTCTTACGCACATATTATGTTTATTTATTTATTATTTTCATATTTTAAATTTCCAATTTAGGGCTGCATTTCTTGTTGAATACTAGGGCTGAATACGTTCCCAGGGAAAACTCATCGATGAATCGATGTATCGATAATATGCCGGGAAACAAAATAATTACTCGAATTCTGAATAAAACTACACAAAAATAGATATATTCAAAATGAAAATAGTGAACAACCAATTTATATTGTTAGAAGAGAGCCATGGAATCATTCCAGGTCCATATTGTATTAACGATTACGATTTGCGAATGCCATTCCCGTGTGCTCGTAGTTTTGGTGGCATTGAGACCTTCTTCTTCTTTCCATATTTGACGTTTGCAATAAGACAATAAAAAAATACACTCACACTCTCACACGCGTTCGACATTATTTGTGAGTTTAGTGTGAAGAGACGGTGCAAAAGGCAGAAGGCAGATCAGATCCGCATATTTATTGATTGTTTGAATGCCTCACAACTCGGCCCTCACTGGAAAAGCAGTAGAGCGTAAATGTTTCGTCAGGCGAAGGACACGCGTAGACGAATGAAATTCCAATAGGAGAGCGCAGAGCGTGTGTGAAAAAAGCACAGGCTCGAGAGCACGCTTCTGCGTTTACGTCGCGGGATATGGCGACACGTCAGGATGACCGCGGCGATGAGATTGGTGGGGGCAGTGAGCCTGCCTCCTATCATATTTTGCCGCACACGGAGGAGATGGCGAATTATTTGGCCCATCAACAACAGAAGCAGCAGCAGCATCAAAACTTTCTGCTGCATCAGCAACATGGTCAGGGTCCCCCCGGACCCATGATGTGGACACCGCCGCCTCCGCACTTGGGTGGCCCGTTTCCACCGCATCTGCAGCAACCACAGCCGCAGCCTCCTCATGTGTATAATGAATATCTATATAACCTGGCGTATTCTGGGCAGTCTGGACAGCCGGAGACCTACTCGGTCCTGCCCGTCGGGCATGGGAACTTCCTCAAAGTCTATCACTGTCCCGAGAATCCGGTCAACGATGGCACCGCTCCCCACTTCACGCATATCAACATGGCATCACTGAACCACCAGCATCCACATCACCAACCCCCGCCACCGACACCGCCCCAGCCGACGCCTCTTTATGAACTTTTCGCCGCCGGTCCGCTGCTGCCGAAGCCTGAGATGAATATTGTTGGGGCATCGGCAACCCAGCCTCAACCATCACAGCTCCAAGTCCAGCCCCAGCCGACCAAGACCCATCCCCATACCAATCCACAAACACCGCCGCCCCCTCCTCCGCAAGTCCTCCATCCTCCAAGTAGTGCAAATCTGCTCATCAACAATCTGGTGAACAACTGGTCGCCGAACCTGACAGGAGGTAGCTACATACAATTCGGGGACGAGATCAATGAAAACGCCACCAGCCAGATGGACCCGCCGCCGCTGCCTGCACACCATCAGCAGCCACCGCAGGCGACGCAGCAGCAGCCCCCGCAGCAGCCGCTGGAGCAATTGAGCAAGCCCGTAAGCCCATTGCCTGTGACCGCAAAGACCGCCAAGTCCTTGAAAGTGCTGCCTTTGGCCACTGCCAGCATCAGCATCTCATCAACTGGCATCGCCAACAAGTCGCCTATTGGGGTGGCTGGACAGCCCGATGGCAAGAAGCGCATTGTGGCCGAGGTTAAGCCGATGTCCTACTCGGATGTGCTGAGCAAGGGAACGCAGTCGAGCGGCTCAGGAGGCGAGACGCGTGCGCTGAACGGATTGGACTATGCCAGTCCGCAGCAGCAGCAGCATCAGCGACGGCAGGGTAAAGAGGAAGGGGTCGGCGGTCGGGAGATGCGGACAGCAAAACGTTCTCCACTGCATGATGCAAAGGACACGCCGCCTGTGCTGGCGCCGAGTGCTGGCCATACGCATGGCAGCCGTGGAAAGAAACGTGGACAATCGAATCACGCGGCACAGCTAAAGCAACAGCAGCAGCCACAGGCACAGCCACAGCCACATCAGGCCGCAACGCTGCAGCCCGCTCAGATCAAAACGAATAAAGCCACTAATCAGCAGGAGAAGAAGCGGCCCTTGCAGCCAAGGAGCAACGTTAGGGCTAATGAGCAAAAGACAACCAACTCATCGATACCCGCCAGCAACGGCAACGGCAGCGTCCAGACCCACACAAACAACAGCAATTCAACAACGAATCCTGCCACCAATCCAGGCCTTTCGTCCCGCAAGCCGAGCAGCAGCAAAGTCAACGCCAACGCCAATGCAAATCAGTCGAACTCCACTGCCTCATCCACACCCAATTCGGGCAGCAGCAGCAGCAACAGCAACAACACAAACAATAACAATGTTAGTTCCTCTTCGTCCAAACGATATTCCTCTTCGAATATGAATCTGAACTCGAATAACAGCTCTGGCTATTCGTACTCCTCGAAGCGCAATCGCAGCAACGCCGCCTACTCCTCCTCCTCCAACTCGCCCTCACATGCCAGCAGCTTGTCCAGCAACAGGAACTATGAGCTGGCGAAGCGGATTCTGCACACCTGGTGGATTTACACTCTGAAACTGCTCACCTGGCTGTTCTGCCTGGTCTACGACATTGTTGTGCTGGGCTTCAGCATGGCCTATGATCGGATGGCAGTGGCTTATGTGGCCGGGCTGGCTTATGCGCGGCAGCTGCACAAGGAACTGAAGCAGAATTCCGGCAAGCCGAGCATCTGGTGGCGCAACTACTGGCGACGTTTCGATGCCCGCTTCGCCAAGAACTCGCGTTGGGCCTTCTGGCGGCGATTCTATAAGCGGAAACCCCCTGAACCCACCTCAGAATCGTTCAAGACGGGACGCCTGCCACAGACAGGCGAGGAAGCGATGTACTCGCTGCTTAATTGTAAAGGCAAAGATGCATACAGGTGAGATACAATCAATGATTAATGATGCCTTTGCCTCTAACTCCCTTTTACTTGTACTCTGTTGCAGCATATTGGGAGTGCCGCCAGACAGCTCGCAGGAGCAGATCCGCAAGCATTACAAGAAAATTGCGGTGCTGGTGCACCCGGACAAAAACAAACAGGCTGGCGCGGAGGAGGCCTTCAAGGTGCTGCAGCGGGCCTTTGAGTTGATTGGGGAACCGGTACGGTTTGCCACCCACTAAATTCCACCTTGATATTGTTATTAAACTGAGCTTATTTTCCCTAACAGGAGAACCGTCTCCTCTATGACCAAAGCATCGCCGAGACTCTGCACGCCGAGAAGGCCTGGACGGAGCTGCATGATCTGCTGTCGCAACTGCAAACCAAAATGGCTGAGGCAGCCAACACTATAAGGTATGCGAATCGATCGAATCGACTGCGACACTCTTCTTCTAACCCTTGCGATTATTAACCCATGTGTAGATGCAGCACCTGTGCCCAGCGCCATCCTCGCAAGCTAACCGAACGTCCTCACTATGCTGCGCGCGAATGTGCCTCCTGTAAGATACGTCACTCTGCCAAGGATGTAAGTACAATCCGCAATTGCGAGTGGCCACTATTTGCACGTGGATATTTATTGTGTGTTTCTTGGATATCAGGGGGACATCTGGGCCGAGACAAGCATGATGGGTCTGCGATGGAAATATCTGGCTCTAATGGATGGCAAGGTGTACGACATAACCGAGTGGGCCAACTGCCAAAAGGGAGCCCTGTCCCACTTGGAGCCAAATTCGCATATGGTTCAGTATCGCATAGTTCGCGGTGCCCAGCAGCAGCCGCCGTCGCAACAGCCGCAGCCTCATCACCATCCACAGCAGCAGCAACAGCACCCGCACCCGCACCACGATCGCGGTGCGCACCATCCTGGCGGTGGCGTCAGCGGCGTTAGGTAAGGAGCATCCTGGAATAGCAAAACCCACAGAATTTAACTGATGACTGTCGGTCGGTCTCCTCTCTTCCAGCGAGGCCACGCTGCACGAGTTCTTGGACAATTTGTACAGCGGCCAGCATCCGGGTGCGCCCAATGCCTTTGCGGGCAACGCACGGCGTCGGGCGCGTCGCAACTGAGTAGTTGGCGCCGCATAGTCCAAAGTGTTTTTAAAATCTCCAATCAAAAATTATAATCCATGCCCATGCGTGTCCATCGGCGGCAGCGTGGTTTTTACTCACTTTTACACCTATGCGTCGGCAGCAGCAGAAGCACCAAAACCAGCAGAAGCCGCAGCAGCTGCAGAGCAAGTACTCATCTTCCCTTCTCGTCCCACGCTGGCTTGCAACACAGTGGCCGCCCGCCCCATCAACAGTTGAACAGCCATATTAAACACTTCTCTGTATAGTTTACATATTGCTTTAAAGTTTACATTTAAAAGATGATCGTGAAAATGTTGTACTTGTCACGTAGAATCGTACAATTGCCTACCACTTAGATAACGTCTATGTTTTAGCCTCTACTTCTACTTCTACTTGTACTTGTACTTCTGCCTATCATTTATGGACAGCTTAACACACGCCTAGCTCGTAGCCAACAAGTTTAGCTCTAAGTTCTAAGTATATTAGCCCCTCCCGCCTCGCATACGTTTCTGCAGCGTACAGCAGCGGGGAGGTGGGAGGCACACCATGTAAAATCTAACGCATCCAAATTAAACATAAATGTTAATAAAACTGTATTGAACGCCTAAAAAACCCTACCCTAAACCCAGCGAACGCCTAAATCCATGTCTAGATTCCAGCAGACGCGAAAACCAATGACAAATGAGAAGAGTATTTTGTTTAGTGTTTTTATTGAAAAAATGCTCCACTCCGTTTTCGCCTAATTTTCTACACATTTTGTTGTTGTTTTTGCAATGTGGTTTGTTTCTGTTTTTTGTATAATAATAATTACATAGGTAGGGGGATAGGTAGGGGTTGGGGTTGTGGGTTTACATACTCGTTACTGCTCCACAAAAATGGGTATTTCGCATACAAAATTGTCTGGAAATTGCATATCTACTCGTATAGAACCCAGATTGTGTGTGTGTGTGTTTGTGGGGGGGACTTACAGTCTAATTTGTTGTTTCAATCGATCCAATACCTCTATGTATGTATGTATGTATGCCAATTCCGATCTCACGTTTGCCTTGTTTTTCTGGATTCGCTCTCTTCGCTCAGCGGCATCATTTATTTATAATAAATTAATGAAACATTATGTGGGTAGTCGGTTGTTTTTTTCGTACTTGGTTCGTAATCGATTTCTCTGTTTTATTTATTTTGTTTTTGTTTTGTTTAGTTTGGCCCAATCCAATCCCAATACTCGGGTAGGGTATGCTTTTGGGGCTTGGGGTTTCTGGTTCGGGTTTTGGTTCTGCCTGACTTAAATAGTGTGGTTGACTATTTTGCTTGACTTTTATTTGTAACAATTATTGTGCCTAATTTTAAGTTACACTTGTTTTCTGATCTATACATTTACAAAACTCGTCGTTGACTGCCACGCCAGCAAACTCTCTTTTTATCTTTTTCTTTTCTTTTCTTTAATTATTATTTATACGTGTACGTGTGTGCATGTGTGGATGTGTGTATGTGTATAATATAAGTTAAATTCTAGCCTTAAATAGTTGAATTCCATGCTCCACACACACAAATACAATTTAATAAACTTGAATAAGCTTTTTAGTTTATAAATTGTTTGTTTATGCGCCGGGCTCCCGTTTGGTTTCTTCCTTTTGTTGTGGATTTGTTTTTGCGTTTTATACAATTCTCATGGTACTTACTGTACTTCTAATTTGTAGTAAGCTTTGTACAACTAAAGTATGTGTGTGTGGGTGTGTTTTAAAAGAAAAGAAGCAACAAAATATTGTATGTTTAGGTGTAATAAATGTATGTATACACTCTCATGTATGCATAAGTGTGGGATCTCTGATTTTGATTTTGATTCTGATTCTGATGATTTTCGCCTATTGGGGGCAATGCCTATACATTTGAATATGGTTTATGAGGGGGGAGGGATGCATAAATAGGTATGCCTGCGCGCATACTCTCAGCATGACTGTATGTCCATGGAGTGGGGTGGGGTGGTGCTGGGGGAGTGTAGAGTGGAGAATATCTGCCCGTTTACGTACAGGTAAAACATGCCCACTGTTTAAGCTTTCGTTTAGACTTTTGGGAGTTTTCCCATTCATTCTCGGCGTTTCTCCACACTGTGTATCGGTGTTTGTGTGGTTTTATTTGTATTTCTGTGTGTGTGTGTGTGTTTGATTGTGTGTGCGGATGAGAATGGGAGAAAGTGACGTGACGAGACGTGTGACGTGGTAATGACTTGTGGAGCTCCCCCCATTCCGAGGGCAGCTCCCGGCGCTGCTGATCCATGGTGCCCTGTCCTAGGCTCTGTGCTGGCGCCGCCCCGCTTTGCCCCGATATTATTTCTGCGTCTTCCGCTGCTTCAGGTCCTGGGAGGCGTCGTCCAGCAGCTTGGTGGCATATCCGTTCGTCAGCAGGCCGTTTGGCCCTGCTCCTCCCTTGTGGCCGTTCTGCGTCGTCGTCGACGCCGGCGCATTGCCGTTGGCCAGCTGCTTGTAGCCGTTGCTCAGCCCATTCGCATGGCCGTTGGTGAGCAGCGCCGCGCTGCCGTTGTCCTTCGACACCGGTGTCGCTGTCGCGGCCGTCGGCTGGGGCATGGCCAGGTCGTCGTGGGCATTGATGCTCTTGCAGTAGCCATTCGGCTTGGCGTTCCCGTTGGCCAGCAGCGCGTTCTTTTTCTGCAAAAAGTCGAAAACGGGGGGGAGAAGGTATTAGGTAGGATCGATGTGATTTCACCGACTATCAGTGCACGCCCCCAGTCCCCTTGCCGTGTCTCCAGCTCCACCAGTGACGTGACTGACCCACAACCCACAGCTTTACAGCACCATCCAGCCATCGTTATGCAATGATCTGCGACGCTTGTCCAAGTCCAAGTCCGATTCGGAGTCGCAGTCGCAGTCGGAGTCGCAGTCGGGAGTCCGAGTTCGAGTCCGAGTCGGTGTCTGTGTTTGTTTTGTTTTGTGTCTTTCCCGTTGCTGTGGCTTCTCCGTTCAACTTTCACTTGTGCCACGCACAGCGGATGCTGCCGCTGCCGCTGCCCCTGATGCTGACGATGGCGGTATAACGATCGTTAAACGGCTTCGTTTCGGCGCTTTTGTACCTTGTCTTCGCTTTGTGCTGCAGCTTTGAACCCAACAAAACGCCCGAATGACTCCCCAGAGACCCACTTGACGAAATCTCGTTAATGAATTTGGACCACAGCATCTCGCGCATATGCAATAGGTGAACGACGGAGGACGGACGACGGACCGGACGACAGAGACGTCCGCAAGGTGCAGCGCTGGCGATGATATAAGCGACGCTCTTGCCCCACTCTGCCTGGCTGCGGATCGTTTTCGTATTCGTATTCGTTTTCATTTTCATTAACACAGACCGGAATCTGGAACACAGCACTGTGTTTATGGTCGAGTCCCCGAGTCCCCGAGTCCCCTTGCGACACGCCGCCTTAATTGCGGTCTTGAAATGCGCCTCGGAGCAACGTGGGAAGTTCCAGCTCGAAAATCTCCGATAGATAATAATGGGCCCTGGCCTGGCCCCTCCGCACCCCACCCCTCTGTGAGCCGCTCTTTTGTGGCTTTCGGCTGATCTTGGCCAATGATAAACGTTGGCCCGTTAGGCCCATTAATGTGAGAAAGTGTCGGAAAGTGCGTAGTCATGGGTGTATGGTCGGCAGGGGGGATGGGGAGGGAACATAATTTCCGGATCTCAGGGGGACTCACCATCAGACGGTTCCTGTAGGCTGCCTTGTAGAACTCGTTGAAGAGGAAGAAGAACATGACGGCGTGCATGCCGATCCACCAGACGAACGCCTTCGGGTAGTTGCAGTCAATGAAGAGGAGCTGGAAGGCGTGCACCATGATCAGGATGAACTGGACCTGCACGGAGAGAGAGAGAGCATATGAGTGATTATCCATTGGGGGGCCATGATCGGGCACGTACCATCTGCAGGGTGGTCAGGTACTTCTTCCACCAGAGGTACTTCTGGTACTGGGGACCCATGGCCGAGAACATGTAGTAGGTGTACATCACGATGTGCACGAATGTGTTGAGCAGTCCGAAGAAGGTGCTGTGGCCGCCTGGGGGGTGGTGGGTGGATGGGATTGGACGGGGATCGGGTCAGCCGGAGCAGTCGAGGGACAGACATTGTGCGCACACTCACCTGGAGTGAATTTCACGCCGAACCAGACCGACATGGGCATGCAGCCGTGATGGATGACGTGCAGCGTCGTTACCTGGCTGGTCTTCTTGCGCAACACGAAGAAAATCTGTGGCGACACAAAAAAATAAAGCAGCGAATGCCCGTTGAGTTGAGTTGAGTCGATTCATGAATGTCGCAATTATCGCTCTGGGGGCGCAGAGTCGCGCAGTGTCGGTCGAGCTTTGATCTGTCACTCACCGTATCCATGAACTCTGTGAACTTTGAGAAGTAATACCACCAGCAGGCATGGACCATCTGATTCCACCGAAAAGAAACGAAACGGGAACGGGAACGGCAACAGGAACAGCAGGAAACGAGCGGCGCAGGGAGAGAGTTACATATCGATTAGCATTGTTTCATTTTCCAGATGGTATTTGTTGTATTTGTATTGGTGTGGTTTCTGGCATTCATCTATCCGATCTGGTTGGGTATCCCCCCAACCATATCCCCATCCCTATCCACTGGGAAGTTCTTGGCAGAAATCATAGATTGGTTTCTATGAGAAATGGCAGTCAAGTTCATGTAGAAACGGACGAAATTTTAACTCTTTTCCCAGGATAGGGATAACGATGTTCCTTGGGTTAGGGTATACACTCGTGTCGGTCCAGCCGACAACAGATCTCACACGCAGCATTCACATTCACAGCTCATTTCATTAAGTAATACTTCTTCGTTACTGCGTTACTCGCAAATCATATTCAAATCAATATCAATTTCAAATCAAATCAAACATTCATGCAGACTCTTCAGGGCAGAGAAAGAGGATAGGGAGAGAGAGAGAGAGAGAGAGAGATATATAGAGAAAGAGATTCCATCACGTAAGATGTATTTATATAGTAAATTGTGTATAGTTCTGCTCGAAAGTATCAAACGAAACAGAAGGGTAGTGTCATTGAATTAATCGTTTTGTTTGATTCCTTGGAATTGGTTTAGTTGGCTAGGAGTGTGAGAGTAGATCAGATCAGATCTCAGCCTGGATAGATCAGAGTTATATCGAAGTCTGGAAGGGGGCCTTGAATCTCTTGGGTTTAGTGACAGTGGGGAAACGTTGACAGTTATCAGTTATGTACGGCATACACATGCTACAATCTGTGGACGGGGTCGGTGTCGGTGTCGGGGTTAGGTTCTGAGTGTTAGCATTAGTTTTACTTAGAATATGTGCAAGAAAATAGTCCATTAACCCAACCATTCCCTCCCATTCCATTCCATAAATTAAATCCATATTATCATTGTGTGCCATAACAGCCAGACTCCAAGGGTGTTGTGTATCTACATATGTACCGAGTAACTATATCTACATATATGTTTCTATATCTATATATATGTATATCTAGGTGGTGTATCTATTTGTAATGCCCATTTTCACGCACACAAACCAAGGCGAATTAAAATAATTAGAATGCTTATCGCTACGGGTGTATGTGCAATCGCAATCGCAATTGCAATCGCAATCGCAATCGCTACTGTTATCGTTATCTTACTGCTCGTGGTGAGGTTAACACATACCCTTAACGTTCTAGGATTATTACTATAGTCGACTGGCTGACATCGGAAGCTATAATGTCCAGTTAGCCAACCGGAAATGCCTATCTGCAAATGTAGAGCACAAAATTTCACGTTTACGAGTATATCGAACGATCTGCGATCTCTTTGTCGGTCTCTCTTTCTCGATTTTATTTGGGTGATCGCAATCGCAATCGCAGTCGCTGTTGTGGTCGTGCCTTCCAGGGTCTTCCAGGTTCTAGGTTCCAGGTTCCAGGTTGATGTTGTTGTTGTTGTTGGATTGATTACTCACTCTGGTATTTACACATGTGCATGTTCGGAGGCAGGTGCGGGTGTTTGTTAGTATGAGTGAGAGTAAGAAAGTACTTAGATAATACTTAAATAATAAGCGCAACTATGATTAATCGAAGCGAAATTAATCACCATTTATTTGAGTTTCGGTATTTCGGTAATTTGGTTGGTCTAGCATTTATGTACAAAACAAAACAAAGCATTTTATTTTGCTGCTGAACAGCTGGCACAGTCGGCACTGGTACAGTCCAATCCAGTACCCGACCCGAACGAACGAACGAACAGTCGCTTGGGGATTAGTCAAAGCCGACTGCACATCACACTGCGGCGGGGTGGTGTGCGGCCGAGAGTTAAGTGTGCCATGGATGGTAATACAGTAAATACTTAGTAGCAATAATAATGGAGGGTAGCAACAACGAGGCGAAGCATTGCGCTGGTTAATACTCGTACTCCAAGAAGCGTTGGCTCAATCGCGGTAGTCGCCGGTAGCTCGCAAAATGTGGTTTAATCAAAGCAATGTCAATGTATACGCTGGAATGTTTTTTGGGTTTATGCAGATCTATGTATATGTAGACAGGTATGCGGATAACTGAGCGAATCAAAGGGGGATGGGCTGGGCTGGTCTGGGATTGTATCTCCTCGGACTAGAGAGATTGCTCTGAATGGGAGGGCCTATGCCTATGCCTATGCCTACGGCTACGCCTAGTATCTGAGATACTGGAATCGTGGGGAGACTGCACACATTTATACGCAAGGGGGGACTGGCTTTCGGGACACTTACTCTCCGGGATGTGGCACTATCTGTGTAGTCCACCGGCTGGCAGCGGAAGCTGTACGCGCCCCACCAGCCGCCCATTAAGCACTGGAACAAAGAAATCAGTTGCAAAAGAAAGGGGAAAGAGAACAGAAAAGAGAACAGAAAATGTCATAAAGTAAGGCAAATTAGGATCAAATTAAAATAAGCGTCGAGCAATTTCTCCATTTCTCCATTTTTCCATTCCATTTCCGCTTCATGGACTTTCCTCCAGTTCGTCTCCAGTTCACGGTGCAACAACAACGACGACGGCGACGATGCGATGCGATGGCTGTTGGGAATGTTATGGGGGATGGGGATGGTGGGTGGTGGGTGGCGAGTACCTACCTCGTAGAATAGCCACGCGCTGAATACAACCTGTATGGCATTGTAGAGGACTAGTGTGTTCTGGAGATGCAGGGGCTTCCGATTCTCCATTAACCGCGGTCCCAGCACCTGCGAATCAGAGTTCATATCATGGATTGTCGTTTATACAATCGCCGGCCCTGACTCATGGCTTAGCACCCAGTAATCCCACTTGCTCGCTTATCGTTCACACACCCACGCGACCAGGTGGATCTGGCACTTAAGATTTGAGACTTGAGATTACTGTGGCCGATTAGCTTAGCTCGGCCCCAGTCCGCGGACTCAAGTGGGACACCTGTTGAGTCGGCGGGCAGACTGCTGACGGGAAATGGATGCCGGAACGGAACTCACCTTGACCAGGTAGACGTATGTGAGGCACACAGCCAGTGTGGGAAACGGGGATGACATCATGGGCCAGTCCTTTGTCCTTGAGTCTATGCACGAAGCAAGCAAGGGGAGGAAATCGAATTAGAATTCCCCATGGTCCAGGCATGGTCTTGCACACCAACAAAGCAGCAAACAGCAAAGCAGCAGTTCGGCGTATCCGTTAGATAAGCGCTCGCCGTGCTCTTATCGTTTCCCACATCCCATCAGCATTGACCCTGCCCTCCACTCGGCCCCACTCGGCCCCACGTTCGCCGCCTGCCTATCCCATGGGCATTGGGCATGTCGTGCCATGGGCACGGCGATCTTCGTGCTTAGAGTGGAGTGGAGGGGAGTAGAGTAGAGTAGAGGGGAGTGGAAGTGGAATTGCGATAATGAAGAGAGCTGGGCACACGTGCACGCTCTTAACTTAACACTCTTAATTGCGGCCGATTCGTACGCAATCTGTGGGCATCTGCATGAGTCGAACACACAGTCGAACCACCGCTAAATGCCATAATTTTCAATTTAGTTCGAAGGCAATTAGTTGGGCAATTTGTTTATGCCAAGATGGCCCAGAATGGGGAGGGGGGAGGGAGGGGCGGAATGTTCGTCCGGGAATTATCATCAATTAATAATCATTGCAAACAACTATTTGGGATACAGATACTGAAATGTTTCTGATATCATTTCAATCACCAAAAATAAAACGAAACTTTATAATCAAATTAATTTGATTAATCCGCTGATTTACCGTGGATGGAAACGGCGCCTGCTAATCCCAGAAGGGATCCCTCTGGCGTTTACCGAGACCTCCCTCAGTTGATTGCCATCTGTGAAGTCTCTGTGCAATCGATTTGGGTTGGGCATAACAGCGGCATTAATGGCTTTTTTTCTATTTCGAAATTAGATATCGAATATCGCGATAAGAACTGCATGGACTCACCTCACCCAAAACCAATAAATTACTCGTACTCGTGGTGTAGAGGAATCAGGTGAATATATATTATATACGAGCACTAGCATTTGGAATCAGTATATTATACTCCTTCCTGTTCTTATGTATGTAATATATACGAGTATTTATGCATGTACATTGGGCACTCTATGCTCAAAATGTGAATGAAATATGGGCAATATTTGTGGGGGAATCAACGATCGAGCGAGTGCCACATAATAGGCCTGTTCCCTGTTCTTCGCACTACATATAAACGAACTGCCTGTATGTACACTTGCACTGGCCCCCGGTCGCTGGGCAATTAGAGGGCAGGTGTCAAAAATTATTTAATCGTTTGCCAAACCTTTTGCCGGTTTTGCAGAGAACTGTGAGAAAGAGAAGCCACGGCGAGCGAGGCTCAGTTGCTGCTGTTGCTGCTGTTGATTGTTGGTCAAAGCTCCCCCAAAATCAAGGTTATACAAATTAGTATAGCCCCCGTTCCCCCCACTTACCACCATGTGAGTCCAGGTACCTGGTTACGGTGTCGATGTATTTCATAATTAAGGCCATTGTGTTACTGTGTAGTGGTTGCTTCTGCTGCTGCTGCCAATGCTAGTGAAATCCTTCCAAGTCTCTCTGTATTTTGTTTATCCTTGTGGTTGGGGTCCTTGTTCTGCGAGCTGGTCTGGTCAGAGCATGCGGTGCGAGGCGGATGCGGTGCAGGTTTGTCGAGCTGCAACGAGCGGCGGGAGAGGAAACGAGACAAAACATTAATAATTGGTATAAATAAACATCTGAGTGGACCTAGCCACTGCCAGCACGTGATGTGGCACTGCCCTCGGTCTATCTGTCTGCCTGACTGTTTATTTTTAATTTCATTAACACACACAACTACATACACACACACACATATGTATAAGCTAGCCTACATTTGTGTACAGTGAATACAAGGGACAGCTCTCCCGAAACTGATACCAATTACCCAGGCCAGTAGCCAGTTCCACTTGCCAATTTGTACTCCTTATCAGCCCACTTTCGACACGCACACACGCACAGAGTCGAGACTGGAGGAGTCGAATATATAATAAATGGCACAAGTATCTGTATTTTAATACGAGTGTTCATGAATATGAATATGCCGCACAGCAGTGGAGCTGGGCTCAGAGACAGCAGCAGTAGAAGCAGCAGCCTCGGAATGGGAATGGGAACGAGAATGAGGTTAATAAACCAACAGCAAAAGCTGCTCCGTCAGCATTTGATCGGCACATTTACATCCAACAATCTTGTTTATAGTCGATTCGTTCTCGATTCGGTTCGTCTTTTGTTTTGCCACTTTATTTGCGATACCGCCGCTGACTTTGGGCCCCCTTATCGCCGTTGCGACGCTCGATATCGCAGATCGATAATTTAGCCAAAATGCGGGGACGGGACCGGACGGGACGGGCCGAGAGGTGTGAGCAATGTCTCGCGGGGAATGTGCCAGCCAGAAAGTTCAAGGACAGCTAAGCGGGCACTTAGCACCCGTCTCGTCCCGTCCCGTCCCTGTCCTGTCCCTCGATTGGTGCCTCTCGAATTCTCCAGGAAAGGTAAAGCTCCTTATAGAGGCCCCTGAATAGCAGGGCTTATTTGGCTGTGAGGGGATGGAGACTGGGACTGGGACTGGCGCTGGTGCTGGTGCTGGGATCTCTCTTACAGACACGTGGGTGCTCGTGCGAGTATTTTATTCAATCTATTGTATTCGGACACCATTCAAAGTTTCCCTCGCTCTCTGCTCGTCGCTCTCTGCTCATTCCCTCCCATGGTGGGGGTATTACTCATACGCTGCGTGGAACGTCACACAAGTGTATCGTAAATGTTTAATAATAGAGCTCAATGGCATCTTTGAACTGATGGGGGGGGGGCGTGTAGGCGATAATTGTGTGTGGGGGGTGGGGGTACTGTGAAAGGGCATCGGCTAATGGCACTACAACGGTCCTTCTCGGGGGCCGGATAGGGCGCATAATATTATAATTAATGAGAGCGAGAGGCCATGGGCACAGCATACACTCGTAATGAAAGCATAGGGCCAGGACCGTGCCTCCCTCCCTCCCTCCGTGGGGCAGCAAGTGAGCCGCCTGTCTGGGGTGTGTTTGCCAGTGGGAATGGATTCTAACGCTGCTCATCCTGCCAAGTCCACTCGGGCTGAAACTACTCAATAGCCAGGGAGTAAACAGAAACTACAAATGTTCGCCCATTTGATGGGCTTGGCGGATGGCGGTTGGCGGTTGGCAGCCCAAGGCAGCAAGCGGGCAAAGCAAACAGAAGTACAAACACCTTTGCCAAACAACAACAAAACCAACAACGACGACGACGACGACTACGACGACAACAAGAAAGCAAATTAAGCCACTGCCACCGAAAAGCCAAATTTAAACTAACCCAAAGTCAAAACAAGGCAACAAAAAGAAGAAGAAATCCAAACAGCGAACAGCCAGAGCCAACAGCACAAACAGCAAACGGAAAATGCTGTCAACAGAGATACTCGTACAATACAATGCATGGCAGACGACGGGGCAGAAAACTGGCACGAACCGAGTGGGCGGCAGAGGAGGAGGTCTGGCAATGGCTTTGTTTCGCCTTCGCCTGATTTAGCAGCGCAGCGTCGAGGGGCTTGGGTGGGGGGTAGGGGTATGGGCCTGACTATAGGTAATCGTAAGCTCACCTTCATTTAGAAGAGGGCTCTGAAAGCGATGCCAGCCAGTCAGCCAGCAGCGACTTTAAGCCGTGCCAAATATTGCTATTTCATTGACCTGATTTCGTTGTTGCTGCTGCTGCTGCCGTTGTTAGCCCCATGTAAGCCCACACAAAAGCCAAACCCATGAAGCAACAATGCACACATGAGCATGTAAGGCGACACCCCAAAACGACACCAGCCCCAGCCATTGCCCATATCCATACCCCCATGCCCCACACCCCACACCACACACCCATTGGTGGCGCAGACAGCAACACGCCGCTTAGCCGGCGCCACGTTGTCACACTCGAACCCGTGCACACCCATTCCGTACACCCTTTCACCCCCACATTCCGTACATCATCACGTGATGTGGACTCTTTGGGCCCTCCATTCCGTGCCCAGCCATTGCTCCATTGCTACGGTTTCTCTTCGGCGTGCCAGTGCTTCGCTTCAGTCTGCTCCTGCGCAGAGGCCCGATTCTGGATTCTTGAATGAAAAACGCGACCATGAGAGCAAAACCCTCTGGTCCACGAGCTCTGGCTCTTGGGTCTGGGTTCGGGGTCCGGGTGCGGGTCCGACCGACTCGCGTGACTCACTCGACGCACCCCCAAAGGCTCGCCCCGGCACGAACCCAAAAAAAGTAAAGTAAAACAGTAAAATAAGCAAGAGGCCATGCAGAAAAGTGAGGGAAAACCAGTCGGGAGGGAAAGTACTCGCCCACCACGCCACGCCATGAATGACGCCGAAAAGGCGCGTGGCGCGTGGCTCGTTCTTGCCTCTTGTCTCCTGTTCCGTGCCCCGTAGCTGTCACACACACTACTAGTACATACTCGTCCATGGAGGCCATTCTAGTTTTGTTATGTCAGTCACTGTTGGCAGTGGTTGGCAGCGGGAGCGAGGGCATACCCCCCCACCTGGGGGATCATCGTCCAGCTCATCAATTCGCGCCAGGGAGAAGGTGTCACGTGCTGAAGGAGTCAGGGGGCTCACCTTTCCCTTTCCCTTTCCGTTTCCACTTCCATTTCCCTTTCTATTTGCTATTGATTTTTATTTTTGGTGAATCAATTTTTTGGCTGCCACAAGTCAATGGAATGGGCGGAGTGTGGATGGGCGGATGAGGCAACGGCAACCCTTCGCTTGGTCAACAATCAGGGGGGGCGGGGCGCGAGTGATTGGCAAATGGGAGGCGCAGGGAGGCATAAGGAAACCGTTTGTGGATGCCGCTGGTCAAGAGCTCTTCGACTGCAGCCGTTTGCCAATAAAAAAACGCACTCTCTGACATTTTGTCCAGCAGCTGTGGCTGTGGCTGTGGCCGACACGCACGGGATGGGAGCATGGGCAGGGGCATGGGGCATGCACATTGCACCGACGGGTCATAGCAAATGCCAGATGAAATTATACTGAGTTATTGGGCTTTTAGTCTCAGCCACAGTCACAGTCACAGCCACATACTCAATTTATTTGCATTCCCCTGCCCCCTTCCCCGTTCCCCGTTCCCCAGAAACGTGAAATTAGCATTCCAGTAAAAGGTTCAATCACTTCCACGGAGAGAAACCCAAAAACGGGTTAACTGACATACATATATATACATATATACATGCATATGTACATACATACATGTATGTATGCATACGCGTATTTGGCGATAATTAATTCATAATTAATTCGATGTAAATTGCGAAAGTTGGGTCAAACTGTTGTGCATATTATTATGGAGTTATGGCGTGGAATGAACCGAAAGAGTCAACCAAGACTGAACTGAAGTAAAAACTCTGTCTAATTTACAATGTAAACGTTAATCGATGCAACATCCATCCTGTTATCCTGTTATCCTTTTCGAGTTGTTTCTGTGCAGTGAAATGGGCCGAGAATTTACCTTGAGTCGGAGTTGCTGGTGCACTTGCTTGGAGCACAGGACTGCGGTCGGCGGTCAGCGGACAGCGGATGGCCAAAATTGGCCGAAAATGTCCGGCTGGCGCTCCTCTGGGGCCCGTGGGTGCACTGGGGAGCCGCGCGTCGTGAATGTTGGAACAATTATTTGGGCGATTGTCGACACACACTCCACTCATGGGATGGGGATGGTGATGGGGTCTGGGGTCTGGGGCGCTGTGTAGCGTTCTTATCACTATACTTTGTTGCAGGCTGCGTCCGAGTCCTGTCAAACACTGCCCAATTGGGACGGATTAAAGGCTTAAAGGCGGACTTCGACTTGGTTCGACGCGCGGTTAGACGGAGGCGGCGACGAGACAGCAGCGGAGGAGAAGCGGATCCGGGACCGGGACCGAGAGAGACACAAAACCGTCAACAACGACTAGCGGAGCACGACTAACTTGGCAGGGATGTCTGAGATATATTGATATATCGCCAAAGCAACCGACTTGAAACAAGACAAAAACTTCTGTTGTTTCGCTGTCCGCGGCCGAGAAAGTATTGAAATATTAAAGCAACATGCCCAGTCCCCATACCCATACCATACCCCAGCCCAGTCCCAGTAGCATGCCGCCGTCGCCGCTGGCGTCGCTGTCATCGCTGGCGTCGTCGCTGCCAGTTGCGCGAAATCGAGCACTGCGCTCTCTCCGTTGCTCTCCCGCCGCCACCTCTCGCTTGAAATTTGGAGTAATTATATAGTTCCAATGGTGCGAAATAAGAATAAATCCAATTGTTTAGTTTCATTGGCTTTCATTGGGTTCTTAGTGTGATTGCCATTTTCCATTATATCGGAAATAAGAATCACGAATCACACATTCAATGCGAGAGAGATGCGTGGAGTTCCAGAGAAAACAAAACCGAGAGCGAGAGAGCACAAAGTCAAAGTCACCGCAAGCAGAGTCGGGCTTTCGACGCTGACGCTGACGTTGACGTTGGCTGTGACTTCAGCTTCAGCTCCAGCTCCAGCCCTCGAGGCGCTGTCGTCGTCCGATTACGAATTAATATAAATTTCTTTGCATTTCTATTGTGATTGGCGGTCGAAAGGCCTTTGACGGTGTGGATGCCCGATTTGGGTATTTCGTGGGACTTGATTCGGCCTATTCACGACTCAAGATGAACCGTTCCCCGCCCACCAGCTCGGCACCACTCCCTTGCCTTGCGTTGGGAAATCTGACTCGCAGTGGATCAGGCCAGCCCAAAACCAGAAAGAAAGGCCAGGCCAGGCCAGTTTAAGGTCCGACGATAAAGAGAAATCCCAGCAGATCCATCGTTCCTACTATGGCCTACTAGTAGACTGCTTTTTTGTCAAACGTGGGCTCAGCATACATACATACATATGTACATGTACATGTATGATGCTGATTGGTCGGTGTCGATAGGTCTGGAATACTTTCACAAGGAATAGGGTCTCGTCTCATCTTCTCCTCTGCGTTGCAAACATTTGCCCAAAGTCAGTAAGCTCTCCCCTTGGAAAGAGCAAAATAACAACAACAGGTGAAAATGCTGTCGGCGTTGTCGTAACTGCGCTGCGCTGCGTCGCTGTCGCTGGCATTGTCTCTGTCTCTGCCTCTGCCACTGGCACTGCCGGTGCCGGTGCAGCGATTTTGAGTGGTGTAAGGGCCCCGCGTCATGATCATGATCGATTTCGGAGGCAGGTGATGCCCCGCATACCAAATCGAATCCCCGCACTTGTCGATCAATTAATTATTACGGCATTTCACACACACAACACACACACACATACTTATACATGCATACATATGTACATGCACGCACAGCTCTTGGGTTTTTTTCACGTCTTTCAGGTTTTCTTTTCACGTTTCTCTTTGACCGTTGATGGTTTTGGTTTTGGTTTTGGGACTTTTGCATTCAATATCGAATTCATGGTCAAGCCGTTTCCGAATGTGTGTCGCCAAAAGGAAGCCCCCCCTCGCCCCCTCGCCCCATCAACAGCCAAACAAGCCAACAGGTTGACCTGACGAAATGGAGCTGGAAACGCGTTTGGACGCTGCTTGACGCAACCATCTAATGCGGCTTTTGTTGTTTGTTGATGGCTGATTGTTGGTTGCTTATTGGGTCGCCCCCACTCCCCCCCACTCCACCCCCATTTCATAATTTCGATGTTTTTCGATGTTTTTCTTTTGTTTTCTGAACCAATCTGGGCAGATATTCAATCGCCCCGCATGCTCTGTGCCGGAATGGATTCCAATGCATTCCTCGGGGTGGCGGAGGCGGTGGGGCCACATTTCCGCCAAACAAATTGAATCAAGGCTGAGGGCCAAGCGATGACTTGTTGAGGGGTCAGGTCGGGCGCCAGCACCTGATGGATGAATGGCGGCGGCAGCGGCGGCCCTCTCTTTGGCGCGCTCGCTCTTCGCCCGCTGTGGGCCAGTTAACTAAGAGCGCATCTCTGCATCAGAGTCAGAGAAAGAGGCAGCGAAAGAGGCAGAGAAAGAGAGAGAGTTCTTTCTTTCTTTTGGGTGAGATGCGAGTGTGGAATATCTTGGAATTATGTCATACATATCTCTACACACACCCACACACACTCACCACATGCGTTACAGCTACGTGAGCTGAGTAGCGTTACTCTACGCGTGTGTATGCGTCCCTTCTAATCAGTTCATATCAGTCTTGATTAATCGGCTGACCCCATCTGTCGCCGGGGGGCAATGGGGGGAAAGGTAATGAGACCGATAACTGCAGGTGCCAGGCCAGAGCTCAGAGCACAGAGCACAGAGCACAGTGCACTGAGAGTGAGACCCCCAGAGAGACAGAAAGATAGTTTTTAATACACTTGGATAAATAAATGTTGAAAAGCTGTGCAAGGGCTGGGGCACTGGGCATCGACTTGGCTATGGGACAGGCTAATGGAACCCAGATCCGCACCCGATCCACAACCGGCCAGGGGGAGAGGGAGAGGGAGGCAGAGAGTTGCAGGGCAGCATTAACTGATTCCGCTTGACATCGTTTGATTTATCGAGCAGAATAAATAGATAAACAACGTTTAGCATTCGTTAATGTGTGTTTTCATGGCGCGGGGAGGCACTTTCCGAAAGGCGGAAGCCGACACTTGAACTGCCGCCTGTTACGTGGGTATCCGTCAGATACGAATAGGAATACGAATGCGTATACTACGCGTATCTAACGTACTAACGTACTAACCTACTACCGTGCTACTGGCGTGCCACGGGCGTGCTACCGCGACCGACGCGGACACTCTTAGAGCTATTCTGCTCGAGTCGAGCCACTTGAAAGTTGAAATCAGAAATCAGAAAACAAAAATCAGCGACTGCAACTGGAATTGGAATCGGTATTGGAATTGAAATAAAAACACTTTACTTTGGTTTGGTGGATTTGTGGCTGTATCTCGGGCAGCGGCCTAGGAATTTTTGTGTGTGGAAATCGCTTTGGCCTGACCCAAAAAGCGAACCGGACGAGACACAACTCAAAGCGAAAAGCGAAATTCAAACTGAGGCCGGAGAATCGGGCGAAGAGCGACCGAACCCCCAAAGGCCGTCCCGTCTAAATGCCGCTGCAAGAGAGCGGAGAGAGGAGTGCGGTCAGAGAGGCCAGAGAGTCGCGGCCTCGGAAGAGCGCGAGACTCGCGGCAGACGACGACGGCGACGACTCGCCTGGCTGTGTATCTGTATCTGGTGGATGGCAGGCGGCAAGAAGCAGACACTGCCACCGCTTGGCAAATGGCAAGAGGTGCAAGAAGAAGCACTGGGGGGCAGTGTGCTACACGTTGAGCGTTGCGTTGCGTTGCGTCACGCGCACACCACATAGCCACCAAAACCAACACCAGCACCAACACCTACACGAATGCCAGCGCACACAAGTCACAGAGATACAATCTGAAGGCGGCGCGCTCTCTGTATCTGCCAGATACAGATACATTCGCCGCCGCTGCCTTGTAGCGCCAAAAGGCCGGCTGCTCTTCACTTCTGCTGCGGCTGCTGCTGCTGCTGCTGCTGATAACGTCTGCTCGCTCTCTGTCTCTCTGTCTCTTTGTCACCCTTTACCGCTGTCACTCTCTCTCTCTCTGCGTTCTCTTTGGTTGCGTATCCGATGGATACGATACGAGGGTTGTCATCGCTTCGTTTCGTTGCGTTTCGGGCCAACAGCGAAAAGCGAACAGCCGACCGAAACGCACATGCCGCCAAATAAAGTGGCAGACTCGAGTGGAAGTGGAGCCCGAAAAGAACATCGAATACAGCTGCAACAGCGGCCATGCATACATACATACATACATACATACATACATACATACATAGATACCCGCGTGTCCAAACATACGATGAGCACAACGGGTATTATGTCATCGGGGGAGGGAAGGGAGTCAGTCGCATGCAGAAGAGAAGTCTGCCGCGACTCACTCTCTCTCACTCTCTCTCACTCTCTCCCACTCTCTGTGTTTGCGTTTCTCTTTCGAGTCGATTGTTGTTTGTTTGAAGTTTATTCTTTTGCTCTCAATTTGTCCCAAAGCCACCCCTTGGTCACACAGACACACACACACACACACACACACACAGACACACACAGATAAGAGACAAGCATATGGACACGGACAGGACACGGGTCGGTAGTTGCTTCGGTTAGTTAGTCCTTCTGGGTGCGCTTCTTCGTACCCTGTACTCGCAGGGCATGCTGTTCACACGGGATGGGTCTTATCGGGTATTTGCTATTGGTATTGCTATGGCTACTATATGTATAGGGCATAGTACCCGATCAGTCAGCATTCAAGTGTTAAATTACACTTGGAGGCATACCTGAGTAGCGGGTATCTTCCAGTCATAAGCTTCCACTTGTTTGTGTGTGTGTTTCACTTCAGTTGGGGTTTCTGCTCCCCTAGTTGCTGCTCTTTTCCGCAGAAATTAACCGGAAATGACGTTACCCCTTCGCGCAACCACTTTCGATGACACACCCCACCTCATCGAAATTGCTTAACTTCTGCAAAAATTGAGTTTATGGTGAATGATGTATGTACATATGTACATATATGTACAATCGGGGATAATGTATGTCTAAATATTTCAAGGGATAAATGTGGGTAGGTGCAGGATACTTAAACATTTTGAACATCTTCTGCTCAGATACAAATGTATCTCAGCTCTATCAAATCTATGAATTATTAGTAAAGAACACCGAATAAAGCTCTATTTGAACTGGACTTCGGGAGTAAATATTTCTTATTTTCGAATTCGAATTGGTTTTTGTGCCTTCGAATGTGCCTTTTGAATTAAAATAATAATAATAATAATAATAATTAATAAACCAATAACTATGGGGATAATGTTTTTTGAGTGACAATTGATGAGAAAATGATTTTGAGCAGATGAGCTATGAGGCCCCTCCTGGCAGATCAGCTGTTGGCATGAATGAGATTTCCCTTAGCCATATTCCATGCAAAGATTTTCATTTAACCAATAAACCATCCGGCTGATTGCGCACTAAACTTGTCACC